GTTCACATGGTTTAGCAAAGTATACAAAGAACATGACAAAGTTAAGGGTAATTTGTAATACATGCCTACAAACTATCTCCTCTAGTTTTCTCAGTGTAGAGAGGCCCACTACCACCCATCAATCTTCTTAACATCAGCCTGTCTTATTTAAAACAATTCTCATTTCCCAAGTGAACATCTCGATTCAGTTGTTTATTTGAGAGTTTCCTGTCTCTCCAACTACCATGGGATTCCAGGCAAGAAGGAATTTTGTCCTTTTGTTTGCCACTGCAATGTCAGCATCTAAAACAGTCCCCAGTACCTAATAGGTACTCAATAAATGCATGGTGAATAGTAAAATTTTTGTGCAAAAATTTGTATCTTTATACATATTTTAAAAATTGGATTCAGGTCCACAGAAATAGATTAAGCATAATCCTTGGTAAGTGATGTACTCATCATTGATCTCACATGGCCCTTTTCTGATTATTTAATTAAGTTTTTTTTAATCATGTAATTGGGCTGGGGATGTAGCTCGGTTGTAGGGCACTTGCCTAGGCCCTGTAGAGCACACACAAGGTCCTGGTTTTGATCACCAGCACTGCAAAAATAAAGTAATTAATAAGTAAACAAGTAAATAAAAATTTTTAATCATAGAATAAGCACCAGAGAGAACAGAACCTAAACAAAATCTAGGCTCTTTCTTCTAACCATAGTGCCCGTCCTGTCCCCCACCTCATCCTCCTGCCTTTCCCTGTCTACAGTAATCATCACTTGGTATCCCCAGTTCTTGGTCTCTTGCCTTGAGCCTCCGCTCCCTGAAAGCACAGCCTGAAGATGGGATCCTTGCTCAAGTGATAGCTGTGCAGTGAGGGAAACAGGATGCTTGGGGGGTGTTGGGCAGGGATGACTTGCCTGAATCAACTGGGTACCGCCTTCAGCCTGACCCCTCAAAAGCTCTGGAGAACGCTTGCACTGAAATGTTAACCCCACCTTGAGGCAAAGAACTAGCTATTTGTATCCTTGAGCCAGTCAGTCATGGGCTTACATCGGGAGGTGGGATAGGGAAAGCAGGCACCTGGCCAAGTGTCACTCTCTAGAAAGGAAGGGAGCCTTGAGCTATTGGAAGCCAGCAATCTCAGCAGCTGGGAGGGAATCAGTGCATCCCACCAGGAAGTGGGAGTCTGGGCATGTCCTCTATATCTTGCTTCCCTTTTTAGTTTTATCAAATTTTGTTCATCTTCCTTAAAATTGCATGTGTATATGTGTGTGTTCCATTGTTAATGACTTTCTAGAAAGGAAATCATAATGCTTCTTTTTGGTGGTATTGGGGTTTGAATTTAGGGCTTTGTACTTGCTAGATAGGAACTCTACCATTTGATCCCTTAAATTTTGTTTCAATTAATGCATGATAATTTAATATTTCATTATGTGAATATGCCACACATTATCCACCCATTGTCTCGGTGATGGTCTTGTTAGTTGTTTCTGGGGTTTTGCTATCAATAAACAGTGTTGCTATAACCCTTCTTGTGTGTCTCTTGTTGAATAATTGCAAGAATTACTTGGGTTTATTTCTGGGGTAGAAATAGCTAGAACATAAAGTGTAAACTTTAGAAACTATTTTCCAAGGTGGTTTTTCTCATTCACTTGCCCGCCATGAATGTATAAGACACACTGCCATGCACACCTTCTCCAACTTTGTGATTTTTGAAAAGTGAAGGAGTATAAAATAGCATCTCCTTGCAGTCTGTTCTGCATGTCCCTGACACTAGCCATCCCTTCGTGTTCATCCCTTCATAAGCTTCCTCTTACATGAAACACTTCCTCGTATATTTTGCCCATTTTTCTACAGGTTATTTGTGTTTTTCTCATTGATCTGTAATTCTTCATACAGCCTATGTTGTCTGGACTGTGGATATTGTGGCTATCTTCTACCTTGTAACTTATTTTCTCACTTTCTTTATAGTGTCTTTTAATGAATTAAGTTCTTTTATTATAGTCATAAGTTTTTATTCCTTTTGTTTTTATGGCTTTTTATGTCCTGTCTAAGAACCTTTTCCCTTAAGGAATCTGGAGGAAAATCTCAATCTGAGGGCAGAGGTCTCAAATGGAGCCAGGTTATACAACTAACAAGGGATTAATAACGAGAATATACAGGGAGCTCAAAAAACTAAACTCCCAGAAAATCAATGACCCAAAGAAGAAATGGGCAAATGAACTGAACAGAGCTTTTTAAAAGGAAGATGTCCAAATAACAACAACAACAAAAAAAAAAACACATAAAAACTGCCCAACATCCCTGGCCATAAAGGAAATGCAAATCAAAACCATGTTTAGATTCCTCCTCACTCCCATTAGAATGGCTATCATCAAGAACACAAACAACAAATGTTGGTGAGGATGTGGGGGAAAAGGAACCCTTCTACACTGTTGGTGGGACTGTAAATTAGTACATCCATTATGGAAAATAGTATGGGAACTCCTCAAAACACTAAAAACAGAACTGCTGTATGATCCAGCAATACACTTCCTAGTGATATACCCAAAGGAATAAAAGTCAGGTCGTAATAAAGACACCTGCACACCCATGTTTATTGAAGCATTATTCACAAAAACCAAGCTCTGGAAACAGGCAAGATGCCCCACTACTGATGAATGGGTTATGAAAGTGAAGTATTTATATACAATGGAATTTTATTCAGTCACAAAGAAGAATGAAATCTTGTCGTTTGCAGGTAAATGGGTGGAACTAGAGCACATCATCTTAAGTGAAGTTAGTCAGGTTCAGAATACCAAAGGCCACATGTTTTCTCTCGTGTGTGGAATAAAGGCCCAATACAAATACAAACGATATTATGAAACAGGTCATGCTAAGAGGAGGTCACAAAAAGGAGAGGGCGGGTAAAAGAAGGAAGTTAAGAAGGTGAATATGATTGATGTACTTTCTATACAAGAATGAATGTAGAACTTTTTTTTTTGTTGATGCTGGTGAATATAGAATTTTTAAACCTACTGAAATCACCATAAGAAGGGAACCTAGGTAGAAAGGAGAAAAATGGAAGGGATGAGCCAATTCAGGTTATAATACATATATACGTGGAAATGTCACTATGAAACTCCCTGGATAGCTTTCTTAAACAAAAATGTCTTTTTTCAAAAATGAAGGTCAGGGAAATAAAACAGGTCCTGTCTGAGGGTTGGTGTCAGTAGGAGGGGAGAGGATATAAGGAAAGGGGTAGGAGGGTGATTATGGTGGAAATATTAAGTACTCATGTATGAAAATGGAAAAATGAGACATGTTGAAATTATTCCAGGAATAGGGGAGGGGGTGAAGGAGAATGATGGAGGGGTGAATTTAACTATATTATATTGTTAGAACTTTTGTAAATGTCACAGTGTACCTCCTGCACAATAATATGACAGTAAAAAATTTAAAAACAAATGGAGCCAGGTTACAGGCAGGTCACAGAGGCAAGTACTGTCCTGCCTACCAAGGCATTGTCCCATTTGAGGCAGCTCTGACTATCCAGCATGAGTGACCAGCTGGTTGGCTGGCAGGTGTGTGCCGGCTATAGAAGTAGATATATCATGCTATTAGAGATGGTGTCATTAAAAATTCTAATCAGACACTGTAATTAACTTTCCTTACTCTGACGCCCGCTCACCAAGCAACCTTCTGATTATAATTTGGCTCCTCGTGTATCTTGCCTACAGGGAGAGAATGTACTGTGCAGGCGACGTGAGGATCCAATCCATTAAACAGTTACACGCCATGATATAAATTAATAAATTTGTATTCTGATTTTATCAGCTGCCTCATCTGGGCTCTGAAGGCGTGAGTCAGCATCCCCAAGTCTCATCAACATGGACACTGAGAATAGCAAGCTTCTTGACTAAAAAACGAACTAGACCCAGACCAGAGTGAAATCACCAAGATAATATTGCCCAGAGGCCCCCTGGCCTGAGGACCAAGGCCTCCGTACACGTCATTCGATACAGACAGGGATTAAAATTGACTTTTTGACATTACAAAGATCTGCATATTCAAAACTATGGCTTGGTTCCATTCAGGTGAAGGCAAAGAATAGAGGGCCATCTTGAGACTCATGCTGAATATTTATTGGTTTTTGAGGACACAGCAGATGCTGCACAAATCCTAGGCAGAAGGTTAAGATTTACAGACATGCTTGAAAGAAGCAAAAAGCAAAACAAAAACAAAAAAAAAAGGACAGATGGTAGATGCTGAGGAGAGATGGAACAAGAGGTGTCTGACTGATGAATTCCTGTTCCGTGGTGGTTCTCATGGTCCAGGATGCAAAATAGAGGAAGGCAACTTTAAAGATAAAAATCAGAAAGGAAACAGGAGGGGGAAACACAGGGTACACCAGAGCACAAGCAGGAATGTGCCGACACCATGAGATTATCCAGGCCAGAGGGTAGGCCTATCGTAATGATTTAGGACCTGTGGGGTGAGGGCTAGATCTTTGAAGTGAGTTCAAAAGGCAAAGTGGAGAGATGAGCCTGTCAGGACAGATGGGGCTAACTGAGCAATCCTGCCATCTAGCTGGCCACTGCATCTGAGATCCTAGATGAGTGACACCCAACAGTGCTACTCCAGGATCCCAGTGACACTGAGTAATAAAGAGAAGAACTGGTATCTGGAAATTCTGAGCCTAGTGATGGGAACAAAGCCTCTACTTTGTATTCAGGCAAAAAAAAAAAAAAAAAAAAAAGACAAGGAGGACCACACATATGACCCTACAGGCTTTTAACTCAAAGAAACATGTTTCTAGGGCTAGATGGTGCTCAAGTGGCAGAGCGCCAGCCTAGTAAGCAGCAACCCTAAGTTCAAACCCCAGTACCACCAAAAAGAAAAAGAAAAAGAAAAATGCATTCCAGAAGGAGAAATTAAAGGAAGCTTTGTGTTATGTCATCTTTGAGACCCAAATAAAGACAATCATTGTCTCCCATAGCATGTCCCATGAGTTCCCACCAGAGCTGGGTCCCTGACTTGGCTAGAGGATACTAGAGACCAAAAGTGAGGTAGAAACACATCACCAGGAAGGGATGGCCCTGAGTGTGGCCTGCTCAACCAGCTATGTGGAAGGAGGTGTATCAAAGGCTCAGTAGTACAGCAGAACCAAACAAAGCAGTTTGGTGGAAGTACTTCTTGGGGGTACAATGCCAAGATGTGTGAGCTCCAGAATGGGGCTGGAGGGGGACAGGCCTGCATTTACTACAACCCAGAGGACTGACTCACACGGGAAGGAGTAAGCTCTTTAATAGTGCATATGGGTAAAACATAGGGGTCCTTCTACTAGAGGTTGTCCCTCACATGCTCCATGATGGTCTTCAGCCCCAGCCAGGTCTCTTCAGCAGTGGGGATGATCTGGCTGGCTGGCAGGAGGAAACCGTAGTGCCCAGTGTCCCTCAACTCAAATGTGAAAGCATACTTGATGCCATTGTCATAGGCCCAGTCAATGCTGCTTCCACTAGCTGGATCTGAAAGTCAAAAGAGTGAACACCATTGAAGCCCATTTCCCTTCAAGGTTCAGAAAGGGCCAGAGTTCTGCCTACCTAAGGTTCCCGTAACGTATGGACCCAAAGAACACATTGACTCCATCCATTGGTCTCGGTTCATCTTGCACCATGAGGGGCTACACTACCTCAAACTAAGAGATTTGAAATCCTCATTCCCATTTTGTCACTAATCCACTGCAATCCCTCAGGCCACTCTAAACCAACCTTCAAAGGGTGTGTAGTGGACAGCTCCAAATACCCTGTGTCATCCTCTCCTACATGGAATAGGGCTGGCCTCACCTGTGTAACAGACTGTGGCAGAAATGAAGGTGTCATGAAACACTGGGGCTTTTCTTTGCTCTCTCTTGGGTCACTCACTCTAAGGACAGCCAGCTGTGGTGTTGTAAGGACACTTAAGAAGCCCAAGAGGCTCATGTGGCAAAGAACTGTGACCTCCTGCCAACAATCAGCACTAACTCACCAGGCCCCTGAGTGAGTCGTCCTACAAACAGTTCCTCCAGGCCTGTCAGACCTTTGGTCAACTGCAGTACTGGAAGACATCCTGACTGTAACCCCATGGGAGACCCTGAACCAAAGCCACCTAGTTAAGCTGCTCTTGACTTCCTGACCCACAGAAAAGAGCAAGAAAATAAATGTTTATTGTGTTAAGCTGCTAAGTTTTAGTTTGTTTCTTTTTTTTTTAACATAGCAAGAGATAACCAAGACACAGAAGGAAGCACATTCCTTGGGACTTTCCTTTGCCAAAGGCCTTGAAAGAGGCAAGAGGCCCATTTTTCTGCTTCTTCCCAAACTCTGTGACAACTAAAATTGGCTCAAAGGATGAACTGTAGCTGACCTTGAATGGTAAAATGGTGTCAGTGAACGCTACTTAGCATCTACTATGAGCTGGTCATTCTATTACAAACTTTCTATCTAGGATCTCACAGTCTTTCGGAGCCTAGTGAGGCAGGGATTACTATCCTTGCTTTACACATGAGGAGATCCAGCATCCCCATGGGTAACTGAGGAAATACGGTTGGAGGTGAAACACTACGCTGCCGTTAAATGAATGAGGTTGACTGAAATGAGCAAAGAGGGAACAATGTTAAATTGTTCATTGAAAACTACAGTGTGCAGAACAGTGCTAATAGTATGTTTTCATGTGTGTTTAAAAAAAAAAAAATAGCCCGGCACTGATGGCTCACGTCTGTAATCCTAGCTACCTGGGAGGATGAGATCAGAGCGATTGCAGTTCAAGGCCAGCGAGGGCAAATAGTTTGTTAGATCCTATCTCCAAAATAATCACAGCAAAACGGACTGGAGGTGTGGCTCAAGTGGTAGAGTACCTACTTTATAAGATGAAGCCTTGAGTTCAAACCCCAGGTCCACCAAAAAAAAATAATACAGGTTTGACAGGGTAGACCTGTAATCCCAACTACTCTGGAGGGCAAGGGTAGGAGGATCACGCCTGCCACTATGACAAACAACTGTCAAGAAAAAGGAAAAGAAAAAAAGACCCACATTTTAATTTCACAGACATGTTATATGGGCCTGAAGAAAGTTGAAGAAATCCCAGCTTTATCATCAGACAGCCCTGGGTTTAGAGTCCAGCTCTGCTATTTTCCATCCCTATTTACTTAGCTGAATTACACATTCCAAGCCTGGATTTCCTCATCTGTATGAATGCAGCAACAGTGTTTTTATCCAGCACTCGCCTGGTGGGCATTTTAGATGCTTATAGTCTTTTGTGATGATAGATAATGTTGTCAAAACACCCTTAATACTCACAATTTACCCATGTCACTTGAGCCCACAGAATTTGTTTCTAAGCCCTTAGTAGATCAGAGAGAGTCAAGAGGAGGGGAATGGGTTGCTAGAGGCAGTTGGCCTGAGAGCAGTACAAGCAACACTGAGGGTCAGACAGAAGGAAGAAGTCATAAAAACTCTAAAAGGCAGGTGAGAATTAAAGCGGCAAAACAGCCTGGGGCTATTTAACAGAAGGCTCTTACAGCCCAACCTGGCATAGTAGGTCTTCAGGATGTAACAACTAATGTTTTGAAAACCACTCGATCATGAAGAAAGTTCTCTTCCATATGCTCTGTTTAAGAAGGCAGCAAGCCAGGCGCCAAGTGACTCACACCTGTAATCCTAGCTACTCAAAAAGCAGAGATCAGAAGGATTATGGTTCGAAACCAGCCTTGGCAAGTAGTTCGAGACCCTATCTCAAAAAAACCCATCACACAAAAAAGGGCTGGTGGTGTGGCTCAAGGTATAGGCTCTGAGTTCAAGCCCCAGTAGCACAAAAAAAAAAACCAGCAAAAGTGAAGTCATTTTATAGTGGTGGTGCACATCTGTAATCCCAGCTACTCAGGAAGTGGAGATTGGGAGGATTGCAGTTTAAGCCCCAGCACCCCCCTAAAAAAATAGTTAATCCCATCTCAACCAAAAAGCTGGACATAGTGACTTCCTGCAATGCCTACTACACAGGAAGCAGAAGCAGGAGGATAGTGGTCCTGTCTGGCCAGGGCAAAAACTCAAGATCCTCTCTCAAAAATAACCAAAGTAGGGCTGGTGGAGTGGCTCAAGTGGTAGAGTGCCTGCCTAGCAAGCGTGAGGCCTTGAGTTCAAACCCCATACCACCAAAAAAATAAAAATAAAAAATAACCAAAGTAATGGAGGCGTGGCTCAAGGGATTAAGTGTGTGCCTAGCAAGTGTGAGGCTCTGAGTTCAAACCCCAATTTAAAAAAAGAGAGAGAAAGATATTATTTCATCTAAATGGTTAATCTAAGAAAGGTCCAGACTTGAAGGAACAAATGTCAACTATGTGGTATGTGCCAGAACCCCTTGGGGTTAGATAGTGTCATTCAAAACTTGATTTCACTTTTGTGAGGTGAGGAAGGCAGACAAGGCCAATGAAGAATACAGAAGATGGGCTCTTGAAAGTAAGAGGAAATTTTATGCCTCCTGGACACTCCAGCAAAGGCGTCCTCTCCCATGGAGGTATCTGCTGAGTATCCCCTGGTTTGGCACAGCTCAAGCTGGGGAAAAGAATGTGTTTGATGTGACAGTACAAGGCCATTATTTAAGCCGATGTTTGATCCAAAAGCAGGGGCCCTGGTGACCCACAAAGATCTTTGGTAGGGCCTCCACACAGGGCTCCAAGCAAGTCTCCAGGAGCTGTCTTTGGTCCCTGGCTCAGTTCTGACTAATTAAGCAGAGGGTGGAGGAAGTCTCCGGATGTGTCCTCTGAAGAGTTCCCATTTAACAACACTAATAACAGTAAACTTTGGATAATTAATGGAGTGTTGCTGCAATTAGCAACACAAACACCAGCATGTGCTAACTGCTTTATGCAGCTCTGTGGCCTGTGAAACTGAGATAAGGGTGCTGAGATTGGAGTGCAGAGGGGGGCCCTGGGGGAGAATGCAGCATCTTCCAGAAGAGAAGGTCTGAAGGGAAAAGAGTGGATCAGGTAGGAAAGTGTGAGTTCCAGGACTGAGGAGGAGAGAAATACCAGCCATCTGCAGGGTCTCTGAGAGAGACCCTACAGAGAAGGCAAGTGGAAGGACCCCCTTAAAATTAAGGGATCAGGTGCTTCCTATGGTTACATTTACTTCCCATTCAGCAGGGGTCTTGGAGGATATTTTTCTTGGTAGGAGTATTAGAAAACCAACTCACTGACCAGGCACAGGGGCTCACACCTGTAATCCTCACTACTCAAGAGGTGGAGATCAGTAGAATCGTGATCTGAGGCCAGTCTGAGCAAAAAGTTCTTGAGTTCTTGGGATCTCATCTCAATCAATAATCAACAAAAGCTGGGCACAGTGGTGCACGCCTGCTGTCCCAGCTGTGAGGGAAGGGTAATTAAGACAATCACAGACCAGGCTACCAAGGCATAAAAATGGGAGACCGTAGTCAAAAAGGGCTGGAGTATGGTTCAAGTGGTAGAAAGCCTGCCTTGCAAGTGTAAGGCCCTGACTTCAAACCCTAATACTGCCCAAAAATAGAGGACAGACTCCCAGGTCAGAATAGGCAGGATGTGAATTGCTCTGATAAAACATTTCATGGAGAAATAAAAACAAAGATACTTTCTCAAAATGAGGCTGTGGGGGATAGACCAGGCTCAGGAAGCCAGACGTGGTGGCCCAGGTCTGTAAGCCAAGCACTTGGGAGGCTAGGACACGAGGATGAAGTTTGAGGCTAGCCTGGGCTGCACAGCAAGACTTTGTTTCAAAAACAGGTAAAAAGAAGGTAAAGAAAAAGGCCAGGTTTGAGTTTGGGGGCCTGGCAGATTGTTCTACTTTTTTTGGTAGCTGCTAGGCAAGGTTGAGAGGAACCCTTAACCCCTGTTCATTTCTGGTAGGAAGGTGAGGAATCGCTCCCACCAACTACAACCACCATCAGTCAGCCATGGCAAAGATGACTTTCCTTCACAAATGGAAGGACTGGCTTTATAAATCTTTGGATAACATGTCAGGATCCTTAATGCGGAATGAGAAATGCAGATTCTACCCGGCTGACAGGACCTCAACCCATCAAGGGTCTGTGATAAATAGCATGAAAGTTGTGGTGACACAGGTGAAGACAATCTGCAGCTGCTCCTGCCATAGGCTTGACATAAGATCAGTCTAATACTAACCACGAAAACAATCAGGCAACAAAGGAAGTCTAACTTGCGCTCTCCTCCCACTCCATTCCGGTTACCTCTGGAGGCGGGAATACTCACAAACAGTGGTGCAAGTCGGGCCCACTTGGTACTTGGTGCCTGACAGGGAAGCCAGGGCTTCAGCAGCTTGCCTCGCCACGTCGTCCTGGGACGGGAATCAGTAGAGTGAGAAAGGATGGGTCCTGAATCCTGGTGTCCCTCAGCTGTCCTGCAGGGAAATGGCTTGGACGAGCCTTGGCTTTGCCCCATTTTCCCTTCTCTTCCTCTTTTTCCACCCAACCAGTCCCAAGAGATGACTGTCAGCTGAGGGAAGTGACCTGGTTCCTTCTCTGCTGCATGACCAGTTCGGTTTGGGGAAGGAAGTAGAAGATCACTAGGCACTCTGAAAGCTTGTGTACTGTATACTCAGACTAGAAGAGCTGTGTTCAAGCCCGCCAAAGGGCTGGCAACTACCCATACCAAATCTACAAGCTGGATTCCTGACCTATCCTGATGGAGGGGAATGTCACGTTTGGGAACGGGGAACCCTTAAGTGGAGAGGGCTGGAATCCAGTCCACACCAAGCCATGAGCCTGGATAGGACTTACTCAGCCTGCAGGCTTGTGGGCTGGCTGTGGCCTGGGCACAGAAGTACACGCTGCACAGACAAAAGCCTAAATTTGCATCATACTGCAGGTGTCAGTCCCGCTCCCACCAGTCCACCCCTAGGTGCCTCCCCATTGCGAGATGAGTCACTGGCGGTTAACACACAACACCTCCAGGCTGTGACCTATACCTTCCTTCACCTGTTCCTTAACCAGAGGGAGGACACCTCCCCGTTACAGTCCCCACTACAGTCCTTGCAAGCTAAGGGCCTATGACATGCTCCAGTCAGAAAAATAAGGGAGATGGCAAGGCAGGGCCAGGGATGGTTCCTAGAGCTCATGGCAGGCACAGAGATAAGAGGGACTTCTTCCTCCTATTCCCAATAGATCCAACAACACCGCTCCAAGGGCAGGAAGAGAAGGCTGGGTGCTTCATGACACGCATGTAAGTTCCTGGATACGCCCTTTAAAGCCACAGACTGGCTGCCTTGACAGTGCCGAAGCCAAGCAAGCCCAGGACCCGGGGGAGCCGACCATCACTCACCAGCTCCTCAGCATCTAGGGCCTTCTTGACCGTGTATCCGTAGGGGTACATCAGCAGCTGGGAGTAGCTGTGCAGGTCGATGAAGCACTTGAAATGCCCATGTTTTTGAATAAAATCTACCACGGATTTCACCTCCACTTCAGAATTGGCATGGGGACCATGGTATACTTCAGAGCAAGGGTTATCACTGGCTCCCTCTCCTGTTGGGGACAGCCAACTAGAAACAGTAACCCACAAGCCAAGAAAACAGAAATGAGGGCATTTCAACCCCCAGAAGGGCTGGAGGGGAAATGAACAGTCACTGCCAGATGCCCCCCCAGAGCCTGTCTATGGTCTGTGCAGACTGTAAGGAGGAACAAGGGTGAGAGATGGGGGTGTTGGGCCTGCCACAGCTGAGAAGAAAAATGTTGGGATTTCCTTAAACGGCTAGAGTTGACCTTGTATTTGTGCCAATAGCAGTTGTCATAAATAATTAATATCATACTTGAAAATGAGTTGTAATTAATAAGTATGCTAGATAATTAATATGAATACCAATAAATAATGAAAATGACTCCATTTATTCTGGTGTCAACTTATTCTCTTGGTTCAGATCTTAATGGCCAACTGCTGCCAAAAATAATCTATTGTTGTGGCTAAAATCTCTTGATTATTTGACAAGCGTTTAGAAATATTGCCTTCTGTATTACTTCACATGCAGCTTTCGAAGGCTGTGTGTGTGTGTGTGTACACACACGCATAACCACCCCAGTTATGGGAATATCTGGCTTAACCCATGTCCTTGGTTCCCACATTCATATCAGCTCCTTTCCTACAATCATTATTTTCCCCCAACAGTTTTTGTGGTATTTCTATGCAAATAAAACAAGTCCATAAAAAACAAAATTTGGGGAGCTTGGGGGTATAGTTCAGTCATAGAAGGCTTGCCTAGCATGTATGAGAACCTGAGTTTGATCTTCAACACCATACACACATACACACATGCAAAAAAAAATTATGTGATTGTAATCACCATGCAAGCATGTCTGTCCCTCTGTCCTCTTAAGAGGACAAGAATTACTTGTCTCTTTCAAAATTACAACAGTAACACTTAAACACAAAATAGAATGCACAGACACAGTGAGCCTAAGATGTACTGCTAAGTCTCTCAGTGAATGGAAGAATGAAACCAAAGTGGAAATTGGCTCCTTACCCCAAACTCAGGGCACAAGTGGACAGGTTCATCCTATGGCAATGGGATTTGAAACCATTTCCCTTTCCCCCCACCTACCTGCAAAACTCGAGTTCCAGTTTCTGTTTGGATCAGTACCAACGCAGCGGCTCCCGGGATTCAGTGACCTTGTCTTCCGCCACAATCGGTTCTAAAAAAGCCACCAAATAACCAGAGTAGGCACAGCAGCAATGAAAGGGTTTTTCTGGGAGCTTAGGGGTGACCACAGCAGATGATGGGCTGAGCTGCATGCTGACCCTGCCTCTGGGAGGTTCTTTGGACTCCAGTTCTCACTGCCTGGATGGTCTGCTCTCAACCCCCAGAGAAAGGAGGCTTTGCCCCTGTGGGTTTAAGAAAGGGACTCCCCTAAATGCCCTGATGAGAACTTTCTATACAAGAACCAGGCGGTCCCAACTGTATCCACTGAATAACTGTTGATTTCAGTAGGAGTGGGACCAGTGGTCAATGTGTCTTGATGGTCAGCAACACCACTGAAGTGCACAGCACCTTTTTTATTCTTGCTTAAAAACACTCACCTGAATTCAGTCAAACTCTCGATCAGGGAATAAGGGAACAAATTAAACGGCACAACAATGAAGCCATCAGCCAAATTCAGAATGTGAGACATTATACAGGAAATTATTTGGTTTCTCCAGCAAATGAATGACATTTTAAAAGGATGTGTGGGGGTGCTATTCTGAACAAGAGAAACTGCAGAGACACAGCAACCAGATGCAGTGCGCAGACCCTGCTGGATCCCGACTTCAACAAATTGACTCCTAAGAGACATTTTTAAGATAATTGGGGGTGTTAGATGATATTAAAGAACTTCCATTAATTTTTCAAATGTGTCAGTGGTGTAGTAGGCTTGCGTTTTTATTATTATCAGCAGCAGCTAGAGATGCATACTAAGGTAGTTGTGGGTGAAATAACACGATGTCTGGGATTTGCTTTAAAATACGTCAAGAAGAAAATTGCGTAGGAGAGAAAAAGATGAATAAAAGATTGGTAAAATGTTAATAATTGTTCAGGACCCATAATAAAGAGTCCCTTAGACTATTTTCTCTAGAAAAAAAAAAATATTCCCTGGTGATTCTCAGCTCTGAGAATGACTAGAAAATGAAGTCCCAAGGAAACTCATCACTTGTATATTGGTGGAAGTTCTTTCTAAGGTCACTGGAAGGCAAGAAATTCAACAAGCAAGTTTTGTTCCACCCCAGGCGGTTTGGGATTACTCACTTGGGTTTGCGTATACACATATCCATCGGGATTAGCCACAGGCAGTAGGAAAATATCCACTTTCTCCAAGATGGAGGTGATAGCTGGATCCTTCTGGTAATCAGACACAATCTAGGCAGAGACAAAATGCTTTCAACAGACTGGGTTGCTAGGTCTAACCGTGTGTCCTCCCAAGGCGTCCAGCACTCACCTAGAATGGATGCCCTCAGAACAGCCTCCACCCTCTGGAGCACCCCCCCAGGGGCAAAGCTCTCTGCAAAGCCCTCCGAGCCCCTTAAAACCTGGGGACAGGGCTGCATGACTACATCAGCTCCAAATCTAGGGGTGCTTGCTTTGTTCATTTCTAGAGAGTAATTCCACATGCAGCACCCTTCCCTCCCAATGCTGGCTTACAAGATTCCTCCAAGGTTCTAGAGGCAATGTGAGGACCCCAAGGCCTGTGTAGCTTGGAAAGGGTCAGAGGTAAGATTCACGTGTTTGTTGCTCAGCTCTTTTGCGGGGGCCCACGACACAGGCCTGACTTTGTGACTCACTAGCTTGCTCGCCACAACTTTGTCACTTAGTCCCAGTGGATTGGGTTGTCACAAAGCCCCTAAGTGAGGGGCTTTGACCATTCACTTCTTGGATCTGAAAAGGCCCCAGGCTGCGAGGACCTCAGGTTCCAGTCTGCACAGAGCACCTTCCCAACCTGGCCCCCTGCGGGGGCTCCCTCTAACCCCACAAGAATCCTTGGCTAATTCCAGGCGACATGACCTTCCTTGCCGTCCAGATGGCGGTGGCCTGCGAGATCCACTCCCGGGAATGGATGCCTGCATTCAGCCAAATGGCAGGCCGCTGTTTGCCTCCTCCTGTGCTGAACTGCAGAAGGGAAAAGAGGCCAGAAAATGACCCTCTTGCCTGAGCCTCTGCTCACCTCTCCTCTCCCCAGCTCAGCTCCTATTCATTTAATTCATTTAAGATAATTCAGAGACCAAATGTTCCTGAGGGCACCATCTATTTATTGGGCTTATCCGTGACCAGGATGCTTAATTGGTTGGCTGCAGCATCAGGCAGCCTGAACCTCTCCAGCACTGGGAGAAAATGGGAAGGAGAAACAAATGTTATTGTGGATTAGAATGCTAGTGCGATTAGAGGTAATAGTGTGTTTCTGAAAGACCTCAAACGGTATCCCAACAGAGAGAGACACAAGGGTACGTGAACCAGGCTGTTCGGCTAATACAATAAATGAATTCGGTTTTAAATTAGGAAAAAGTGGGCTTCGCTCTAGCTCTTTGTAAATGGCAGTAATGAATTCTGCCTCCTGCCTTTGCCATAGTGTTGGGGCCCCTTGGGTCAAAGCTTGGTGTTAATGAAGCCAGGGTCTTCATCAGATGGGCAAATAATCTAAATGTAATTATTTGAAAGCAACCAGCTCAGTGGCAGGTCTCCTTTCCCGCTGGTAATTTGCTATAAATCTGAGTTCTTTGGGGGCTTATAGGAAGCTAAGACTTTGGCAAATTCTTAAAACCATCCATTGTTCCATGGTGTATGCCCAAATTCCTTTTTATTCATTCGACTAGATTATGCATGTAATTTATGTCATTGTCATAGTTCTCCATCTCCTTTGCCAATGCAGACCTGAATCTATTAGAAATATCTGGAAATGAGGCTTCGTGCAGCCAAGGATCAGTAGCTGGCCTTAAAAATGAACCCTAAAATTAGCTTCCTAGGTTGCTTTTCTAGTAAGTAGCCCTAAAAGCAGATCAGAGTTCAGAGGCCTACCCTACCTTTTCTTGCTATTAACAGAAGGTTGGGAAAGATGAAGGCAAAAGTGGCCCACTAAAAGCCTTCTGAAATACTGACCACCTCCCCTTTGATCCTGTCTTTCAATCAAAACATGGATGGGCACATGTGAATAAATGAATAATTAAAAAAAAAAAAGAAAACATGGATGGGGTGCACTCCTTCTCCCTACCCCACGTTAAACAAAAGCAAGCAATTCCAGCAAGTCAAAATCTAGCTGGGGGGCAGTGTGGGGGGGGGAGGGGAAGATGACACGTAACCTCACTCTTCCCTTGAAGCCAGGCAGCTTAAGAAGCTGCCTCCCTCAGAAGTTTGAGGGTTGGGTCCTTCTTGGACACAAGAACCCTTCCAAGGGCCTGGGGCCTCACCTTCAGGACGTACATCGGCCGCTTTTCAAATGTCTCTCCAATCTTCACTCTGCTGGCCAGATCAGGAAAATCTGTGGCAATGCTGTCCATCTCATGGTAAATCTGGAGCATGAAATAGTGAACCACAGACATTTTTTAAATTAATAGAATCTTACTGTGTAGCCCAGGCTGGCTTCAAATTTTCAATCCTTTGGCCTCAGCCTCTTGAGTGCTGAGATTACAAGTACATGCCGCTGTGCCTAGCCCAAGACCATTGTTTTAAATCTTTCAGTTCTGGGTAGGTATTTGGGAACTTTATCTTGTCAGTCTTAAAAGATTTCTTCTGGGCCTCTAACTTTGGGGTTAACCATATTATCAATATGGAATGCTTATTACAGGGAAGTGCCTGATGAGTCTCTTCCTGCAATTTTCTAGAGAATAGCACATTTATTTATTATGGGTCACTGAGGTAGACTAGAGAGACATACAGATATTGCTCCAAAGTTGGTCCTTCATGCCATCTTGGACAGTCCCATTTACCAAGGCTCTTGACAACAGGACTCTCCAAATTCTTGGGACCACATTTTCCACACAAAAAATAAAGTATGTACCACAACCACACAAATATATTATGTACATTATAAAATAATTTCTTCTTCCATCCCAGTGGGCCATCTTGCCAACTAAATCCTGGGGTATAGGAATTCCCCTTATAAGATGATTTCTCTAAAGATTTTATGAGAGCAAGTGATAAAGAACTAAAAATGGTGGCTAAGAATACAGCTAATTGCTTTCAGAGAAAAAGAAAAGTTTGATTTAAATACTTTATTCATTTTAGTTTCTCAAATCATTTGAAGGCTGAAAGAAGGAAATAAATTTGTTTAGGCCTTAAGATTAGAAGAAAGAGCTATACACAGGAGGAAAATGTGCAGTCAATTTAAAATAAAATCAAGATTAAAGAGTTAATAGACTGGAAGTCAATATAGCAGACTGAGCAGAAGCAAAAAAAAGTAAAGAAAAAATCCCAAAAACATTGACAAGCCAGATAATGTACAATGAAAATGATTCATCACTGGTTTAAAAGCTCAAAAAGGGGAAACTGTAGATGCCAAAACTGAAGAGGAAACTACCAGGATGAAGGCAGGAGAAGAAGCCTCAGGTGCTTGGTGTTCATGGACATCCAGAAGAGGAGCAAAGAGCTTAGGACCCAGCATGGAACAAACAGCTGGAACCTGAAGCCAGAAATTGGCAAATCTGACCTCATAAAAAGGCTTAGAAACTCTTCCCCACTCACTGACCCTAGAGAGTGGAGGAAGAGCAGAGTGGCTGCCCTGGGCCATGAGAGGAAACAGTCACCCAGGAAAAGTTAAGACACCAAGGTGTATCCAGACGTGGGGTCCAAATTCACACTGCCAACTACCACCAGGACATACACAAAGGATCTGGAACCAGTAGCCTTGGCAGAGCCCAACATGAAAAATTCCCACTAGAGACCTAAGAAAGCTGAAGTGGTTGTTGTATATGAGCTGTTCAAAACTGTATTTAGAAAGAACCCAAACTGAGCACCCATGGAAGGACATGGCACACAGATTCATAGCAAAAGGCCTCCAGGGGGCAGTCTGGAGGCCAGACTGCTAAAGGCACCAAACACCAGAAAAAACAGGGGCAAGTCAATGAGAAAGTGAGGCTCAGATAGCTGCAGGTGAGGAGATGGTCCCTACGGAAACTTGGATGACATTTGCAACTGATTAGCTCAGCTGGGCAGGGCCCCACATTAATGAGGCTAACGTCATGGGTTTGATCCCTCTGTGGGCCCTGAGCTCTGCTTTCGTCCATGGCCCAAGACTGAACTCCTAACTTCATCCATCTGTTTTGCAGATGGATGTCATTGGTCACAAGAGGGATCAAGAGGCAGTGTGGTTGGACGTGTACACAATAAACAAAGCTCCTGACAATCATGGGAAAGAAATGGTTGGCCAACCTTTGAAGAAATCCCTCTTCAAGAAGAGAAACAAAGAATATAGCTCATGAAGGAAAATAGTGGGGGAGTGAATTCAAATATGATATATTTGATATATTGTAAGAACTTTCATAAATGCCATAATGTACGCCCACCCAACACAACAACAATAATAATAATAATAAAGGAATCTATCTCATGAAAAGCATGCCAAGAATACTATTCATATATAAAGAACAACATGTAGTAAGGTAGATGAGGGAGAATGGGGGTGTGTCCCTAAGCTAGTAGAGTTTTGCATACTAGTCAAGGAGACACTGGGAGACATAAGAAGTCAGTGCACCATTCATGGTGCAGTTCCATTTGTATAATCCCTTTTGGCTTCTCAAGTTCCAACATCTATGAAATTATTCTGCTCCAAGTTTTTCATTTGAAAATTTGGCTTACCTTGAAAATCAGTCATCTATACAAAGCGGTTTCTAACTAAACACAGCACCAAAATGCATTATGGAACAAATATACGTTATAAGTCATCATGATAAATGAGTGGAAATATTTGGTTAACCTTGGAAATAACCACTTTGTCTACTTGCCTGAAATAAGTAACATTTTATTCAAGATGAGGGATTATGGTGGGGGAGAAGGTTGAATTACAAGGACTGGAAATGATTGCAATTATTTCATGGCTTTCTTTAAGAGGTTACTTAAGAAAAGAAGGATATGTTCAGTTAGTGTTGCACTGTGCTCTTAGGTGCTGGTAGGAGTTAATAGCTAAGAATTAGAAAGGAAATGTACACATTTTAGCCCCTTAGCAAAATGGTATTGTGCTGAAGCTAGAAGCAGAGGTTACAGAGCTCAGGAAACAAAAGACTTTGGCATATCAAATCTGCTCTAAGACACTTACAGCTTCCAGAGAATGGTAAGCGCCATAGTTGAAGTTATTACCACTCCGCTCTTGCCCTTCATTGTGTTGCATTTCTTCGTCTTCATTATCTAAAAGGGCCTAAAAACAGACACAGCAACATGGTGAAATGCTATATCTTGGTCCATGGGCCAGCCAAGATGGCAACACCCTCAGCACATAGAGCAGCACAAATGTCAAGGTTTGAAAAGGATCAGGTAGCTTAAATTATGCCAACTAAAGGTTAAAGTACAAGTGTAATGCCATGCTACCTACTTCTATAAGAACTTTCAATCTTCATAACTACATACATTCTAAAGCTACTGATTTGTGTGAGGTAGGAACAACAGCCTTACCTGTATTCATTTTCATCTAAGACTGTGATTATCTAGCATTCTTGGTTCTATTGAAATATTCTAGTGTATAAAAATATTGCAATGTTAATAGACAGAAGAAAAGTCATTATCTTGTGTATGCTGATTGTCATGATAGTGTGGTACAATTTTTTTTAAATAAATTATCATGCCTGTCATGCCAAAAAAAAGAGAGGGTCAGATTTCCTTCATACATCCATAAAACTTTACTTCTTGATGTGCAATTTACATCATGCCATTCAAAACCTACTCACTCACTGGAAGCAGCATATGTGCTATTGGGTTATTCTGTAGTATGAAATCTCTAGACATCAGCCTGCATCTGGTACCCAGTGCCTCTGAAATACACAGCTTGGGAAACCATTCAGAAACAAAGAAATTCTTATAACCACTCATACTTTGAAGGTTCCTGGCAGATGTCTGTGACATGTGAGGATGATTAATAAGCTCACAGCTGCTCACGCCATCAGGAAACTCCCAGGCCAAATCACCAATTAGTCCATAACCCATCCCAGTGAAGAAGAGAACGTGAGCCAGACGCTGTCCTGCTGTTCAGTACAGGTCGTGAGGCTGGATGGTGATATTCCCTCTGCTGGAGACTGTTGGTGACATTCCCCCTTTCTCCAAGGGCACTTCTTACTGGTCCCCAGTACCTTCCTAACCTTCCCTGCTCTTGCCTCCTAACTCAAATAGAAAAGGGAGAGGGACTTGTTATTTCTTGGCACATCTGTGATACAGCACATACTGTTAGGTATTTTTCATATATTTAATAAAAGAATCTTCTCAATAAAATACATGAAGTACATCTCTATCATCCCTTACTGATGAAGAAATGGATGCCCAAGTCCAAAGACACAAACTAGTAATTGGCAAAATTGGGATTTGGATCCAGACAGTCTACTCTAACAGACTGTCCCTCTAACAAATAACTACACTTGGTTTCCATCTGCTTCAATTTCTTCATCTCTGAAATGAAAATGAATGACACCAGACCTTGAAAATCTTTCAGGTCTTCTCCTTACTGGCTGCTTGGTCTTAAGCAAGATCAATGCAAAGTTACAACCTACCCACCTGTAGGTCTTTGATTGTCACTGAGTACTCCAAGCCCTGGGACTTCAGGAAGGATTTGACTGGCAGCAAACTGACAGATGGGACCAGGACATCCACAGGCCTACCAAAGGCAGAGGGAGATTTCCAGACATTGAGCTGAAGGAATAGAAATAGAAGCAGGTTAAAAGACAGTTCAGGTGAAACACACAGTGAGCTCATTGCTCTAGAACCCCCACCAAAAATCAGGGTGACCCATGAGGGGCTGAGTTCTGCCCAAGGGCAAACATTGACCATTTTACTCCGGTCAGACCTGCCCCTCAAGCAGTACCTGGCAAAGTCCAACAGTTATTTCCAGAGCAGCTAGAAGGATGGAGCCTACTACTCAGACCTCCCATTTCCCAGGATGCACTACTGCTGTCCTCAAAGCCCTTCTCCACCCCAGCAACCCTCAATTGTGTAAATGGTATATTGACTAACACAGGATTAAACACAGAAAATATTCAAGAATAGACATGATAACACTGGTAATAGTCTTCTTCTACCAAAGTCAGAATACTGAAGAGGTTGAAGAAGAACCACATACCTTAAAGTTGTCTGAATTCACTAGCTGAGTCAGCTTACTGACCTCGTCTCCATTTCTGACATTAATCCTAAAAACTTGGTCTCTGGAGAAGGCAGGTTAAAAAAAAAAAAAAAACAAGCAAAAGATAATGGTGAGTTTTCAGCTGGCAAATAAACCCCAAACCCCTGATCCCAGACAGAACTGGATGGAATAAGAGGAAATGGTCTAGTCTTTGGTTTTAATGTATAGCCATTAAAAATAAGACTATGTGGCAAATGTAAAAAGTGCTTATGGTATAACTGGAAGGGAAATATTAAGTGAAAGAACAGGACACAAAATTGTATGTATGCCATGATTACAAGTATGGAAAAAAGCAGATGCATTGGAAGAAAGACAGAAAACGGAAATATACCAAATGCTGACAACGCTCAAGTTTGGGTCGTGGGATTATGGATGACTTACTTTTTTTTCTCCTGTATCTGTTTTCTGTAATGTGGTCATATTACTTTATAATGAAAAACATATATATTTTTACAGAAAGGAATGTTCCTGAGTTACACGCAAAGCTAACTTGAGACATAAAGGAGCACTTCTTCACTGTCAAGGCAGAAACCTTGGCACAACCTCCATGCTGGGAAAAGTTGGAACGGGTGCAGACCCTCCAACCAGGGAGGGCCCCGCTGCTATTCTCTTAGAGAAGAAGGGGAGGTCGAGAGCTCACACAATCCCTTCCAGCCCCAGAGGCCCACATGCATGTGCACATGTGCAAGGAAACGGAACATGGCCCAGGGTGTGAGGCTGAACTTGGAACTCACTGCTGTCCATGGGACCCTGACAGGGTCCAGAGCCAGTGGCAGCCCCCTTTGTTGTTCATCTGCACTTGCTTTGTATACAGTATTTAAAACTGGCTGGAGAAGAGGCCCCCAAGTCCTGTGTGGGAGGGAGAAGGCCAGGGCTGAAAAGCTGCCTTTGAGCTCACAGCCAGCTCAGGGAACCAGGGGAGCCATTAGGCCGTTGCTAGGTGACGGCCCAAATGAATCCGCACTCGATGCTGTCACATGCGTCATCCCTTTGACATGAGTGAATGCGGGAAGAGCTGCTGGAGAGGGCCGTGGGCTGAAGGACCTGTTGACAAAGTAAATGGCTCTGTCACAGGGAGCTAACCGTGCAGCCTCACATGGCAGCTACATATCAGAAAACCGGTTCAGTCCAGACAGGCCCTCAGAGTTTCACTTAGTTCTGGAAAGTTCTGGGGGATTTGCAGAGTCTAGGCCATTCCCAAGGAGGTAAGGCCCTCTGCTGAGCTGCATATGGCTTGGTCTGGAGGAGATGCCAGGGCCACAGACTCATGGTCTCCCATCCCAGTCAGTCCCCCCAAGGTCCTGGAGATGAACAGCTGAGTTCCATGAAAGCTGCTGAGGACCTTTGGGGAGGAGCCCTGGTGAGGCAGGTCTCAGACAACCCTGGTTATAGTTTGCCCATGCCCCAAGGGCTCAGATGCTGGAAACTTGGTCTCCAATATGGCAATTTGGAAAGTAGTGGGAGGTGGGGCGCATGGGGCCATTGAAAGAGATTAATGCTGGTCTCTCAGCGTTAGCTCCTGTACAAGTGGAAGTATAGTGAGCCTAGTCCCTGAATCTCTGGATTCCTATCTTGCCACATGATCTTTGCTTCTGGCACATGCTCCCACTATGATGCCATCTGCCATGTTGAAATGTAGAATGGAGGCAATTACCAAAGGCCAAACAGATGAGTCTACCCAATCTTCAACTTGCAGCCTCCAAGTCTGTGAGTGAAATTAACCTGCTTTCTTTACATATAACCCAGCTTCAGGTATTTTGTTATAGCAACAGAAGGCACACTAAAGAACCCATCCAGCTGGCAAAGAGTAAGACTAGAGCCTTGAGAAGATGAAGAGTCAAACATCATTTTCCTGATGTAGGGAAGCAGTCTCAAAAAGGAAGAGGGGAGGGAGAAAACAGAAGGGAAATCATTACTTCTGTCTGAAGACCAAGACCGGTCTGCCAAATTCGTGCTCTGTCACAACCTATCCCTAGGAAAGGGGGTGTCTTAAAGATGGGTGTTCTAGAATGAGCTTGTACCTGATACCTCTAGTGTCAAAATTAGGCATTTATAAAACAGCACAGGCTACAGCAATCACAAAGGAGGAGATGCAGACGGAACAGGAAGAGAAAAAAGAGGGCCATATGAAAAACTCTCTGGAGAATGAACATTGTGTGACACCTCATCCATGTGTGACCAAAATGGTGACTTCACAACAAAAGTTTTACATTCTTGGGCACAAACTACAACAATGGAACATGGTGACTTCAACAGGTCCTGCTGATAAAGCCACAACCCAGTTCATCATATACTAATCAGTCAAGTGACAGAGAACAACATCTATAGTGTGCAGAAGGCAGGGCAGAAGAGCTGACCAGAATGGAGACCCCACCCCCGTCTCCCCTCTGCCTCTCCATACCCTTTCAGTCCAGCCCTACTGAAATCCCAACTTCACAAGTGTCCTTTTGCTGTTGCCACTCCCTCAATCCCAGTCTTTATCCTTAACTGTGTGGCAATCTCCCACCCAGTCTTCCAGACCAGCCCATATCATGCATGGAACTTTCCCTAACCAAAGGAGGCAAAGTTAAGTACAGTCTTCAGGTAGCACTGAAAATAGGCAGGACGGTAGGCTCTAGCATTGGTCTTATGAACACACAGACACCTGAAAGCAGAGTGGGAAGGACAGTCGTTTTCTTGTCCTTCTTATCCTTGTCTGTTTAGAAAATGCCCTCTCCAGATCCCAAGAATATAGATGATTGAGCACATCCTATCTCTGCTAGCTGAAAATTCATTCAAAGACCTTGACCTTGAACTCTTCCTGAAGAGTGAAAATTGGCCTGGGAGTGGGGACATGTTGGCATTTGCAGGCCACTGTTCTCTCTCCTGCCTCCTAATAGCTCTTTTGGCCCTCTTCAATACCCAATTTCATCCAGCTACTGAGAACACCATGGTTGGTGATGTGCTCTCACTCACCTTCATCTTTGTCCCATGTTCCAGACAGTCAATAATTGCTTTGGTGGAGGTGTGGCTCAAGTGGTAGAACACCTGCTTTGCAAGCATGAAGCCCTGAGTTCAAACCCCAGTCCCATCAATCAATAAATAATAATTGCTTTGGTGACTGAGCTTCTGTCCCTCCCCGATTACCAGGCAGGTAGTTAAGTGGTCTATTCTTTGTGCCTCTCTCCCCTGCATCCCCAGCCAGGTTTAGCATCCAACATGAATAGTATTAAAAGACAGTCTCACAGAACTCTTTCAATGGTGACCAATTATCACAGACACTAAACCAGTTCTGCAACTACCTCCTATCCTCTGCCTGCTTGGCACCTGGAGATAACTAAAGATGACTAAAGACCATCCTTAAGATGATAAAGGCCAGATCAGACAACACCAACAGAGTAGAAGAGACTGGGGAGCCAGGAGCACCAAGTGGAAGGGAAGTAGATGAGGTGGTGGAGAAGAAGCATCACCCTGGTTTCCATCAGCCAGTCTCCAGTCCCGCTTCCCAACCACTCCAATGCTCAGAGGCCAGCTTCCACTTGCTGTACACACTCACTGAATGGGGTGATCAGGATGCGGCAATGGACCCCAGAAAGGCCCCCCCTGCTTTTGCTGCATTGCAGCTATGGAGTGAGAACAGATTGGGGGAGGGAGTGACAATGAGTCTATTGGTTTAAACCATCTGCAATCAGCTCAGGCACACAGCCCTTTCTGTGCAAAAACTCCTGTAGTGAGCCCTCTGGGGCCTGGCCCAGCTGTCTCAGCCCTGGTACCCACTGCCTCGTAAGCGAGGTCTGGTTCCTGAGAAATAGAGATTTTTCAGCCACATGAATAGCTGCAGTGGGAGCTTGACAGCTCCATGCGTCAGCCCACACAGCATCAAGTGTCATTATGACACACCCGCTGCTGAGCTGCCTGTGGAAAAATCTCCCTCCCTGGCCACCTGCTACACCTAACCCCTCCGAGCTATTTGGCAGTAGAGACACAGGTATGAACAAAGTCATCACCATAAAAATTACTCAATCTCATATAAATAATTGCTTCAATAAACAATCCCAAGTCCCTTTAGCCAGATAGTATAATAAAGAAAAAACTAACAGATACAGATAGACCAGGGAGATAGAGGATTCTATTTCGATAATACAAGATTAACTTGTATTATAGAAAAAGGGTATGGGTTTTGCATTCAGAGTTCCAGCTCCCCTGCTTACTAGCTAAGTAGCCTTGGGTGGGTTCCTTAACCTTTTTAAGACTGAGTTTTTTCATGTTTCAATTGAAGAAAATAACACCCCTGCCTGGCAGAGTTGTTGCATGATCCAAAAGATAATGTACATAAAAGCTCTTTGCAAATGGCAAAGCATTATGCCGAAATGAGTTATTACAGGGCAGTCTTCCAGCAGGGCACCATGACATCCCTTTCATCTCTCCTACCTCCTAAATTTCCTGTCCTGTGCAAACCTCAAAGCCTGTGTGTGAGCCTGTGGGGCATGTGTGCACTCACACTCACACACAGAGTACAGGTGTGTGTCCCTGTGTGTCAATTTCCATAGCTGTGGCTAGCAAGGAGCCTGAGACCCAGGGCTGCCCCTTTTAATCATGGCAGAAATTAAAAACAACCTATTTTTGGTAATTCTTCAGAATTAACGACATAGGAGTATGAAAGTAGGAGGTACCTAGAACTGACCTTACAAATAAGAATGAGGAAGAAAAAGAATTAGCAGGAGATTAGGGAGCTGAGGAAGGTCTGTGGAGACTGTTATCCCTGATTTCACAGATAAATCAGGTCTCAGAGAATAGTCACTTGTCCAAGATGATACAAGGACAAAATTGAAATGAGAGCCCAAGTCCTCTTCCCCCAAGATCCTATCACCTAAGTATACTCACCCATCCCTTTTCAGTCCTATTTGGTTTCCATATTGCTGAAATAACCAACTTAATAAATACCAAAGGAACTTACCCAAAAAATTTTTCTCGGCTGCAGATGCCTGACCCAGTGAGGGCCCCAAAGAACAGTATCCACCGCATGTCTCAAGGGTGTCAGTCACAGTGACTGAGTCAAGATGTATTTATAAGGAGCCTGAGGCAGACTCATGTCCTCAGAAATGCTAATATGATTTCCCAGGCACCCTTGCAACTCTGACAGGCGGGGCCACTACCATTGCCTCTTCCATTCCTTTCCAGTGATAAAGGCCAAGCTTCGCCATTTACAAAGTTAGGAACTCCTCCAGAGGCTAGAAAAGTCCCTACCAAGACTGCCATATTGCCTATCAGTTGGTGTGTAACTAGTGTTTCTTGAATAAATAGAAATGGTCCACAGTGCTCTGGAGAAAGTTTATACTAATAGAGAGGCCAGATTGTAAGTCTGGGACGGAGTTACCACCAGAGTAATAAAAAAGTGAAGACTACTGGGCAATCCCAAGCCAGCTCCGAGACCACACACACTTGACCAGAGAATTTCACCAGAGCAGGTCATAACATGGAGAGTTTGTGGCCTCTTTTATGGATCTGAGTCCTAATTTTTATGACTCCACTAAGAGAATGGAAATATATATGGTGAATGGTACAGGAAGTGAAGCAAGATAGATGAGAAGACGGGAATTATATTTTAATAAACATTTAAAGGACTAGACTCAGACATTGGACCAAGGAAGTGAAAACTGAAAAGCTAGAGCAGCTAGCCCCCTCCCACCTTCCTTTAGATGTTCAGCAGCAAGAACAGGGAGGCAGAAAGGGACTGCCCGCATCTGCCTTCCTCTTTGAGATGTCAACAATCTGCAAAGCTCCTCAATGGGTAAAAGGACAAAAAGAATGACTGTCTGGCAAAAGGAAGCCCAAATTCTCACCTATTGTCCCTGTGTTTTGGTTGGGCCTAGATCACTTCTTCCTATCTTATACCCACCTGAGCCACCCAGTCTTAATGTTTAGAGATTGCTAGACATGACCACCTGTCATGACCACTCCAGTGCAGAAAATATAAGACTATACTTATATGCCAGGCACCAGTGGCTCACACCTATAATCCTAGCTACTCAGGAGGCTGAGATTGTGAGGATCGGAGTTCGAGGCCAGGCTGGATAAATAGATTGCAAGACTCCATCTCTAAAATGACCAGAGCAAAAATGGACTAGAGGTTTGATTTAAGCAGTAGAGCACCTGCTTTGTAAGTGCAAAGCCCTAAGTTCAAACTCCAGTCCCATCAAAAAAAAAAAAAAAAAAAAAGAAAAAAAGTGTAACATTACAGACAAGGATCGCCATTTTGAGTCTTTACTCCTATTGCCTGCATAGGGAGCAGGAAATGTTTCTTCTTTCCCCCCTATTTCTACCCACTTTATTCTGCTGTACTAAAATAAAACTTGCTAAAGCTTCCACCTTGTAAGATTCTTTGTTGTGAGACGCATTGAAATGCTTTTCATGTTTGTAGATCTTAAGGATCTGTGATTCTGCGTAGAAACTGGGAAGCTGAGGAAACCCCCTCACCCCTCCCCAGTAAAGAAGGATGTGTTATTCTGAATAAGTTATCAGCTTTCCTTGAGGTCTGAATGACAGGTAAGGCTTGATGGAACCTTTAATGAGGTTTTGCTTGTCTGAGTCTGGTGTCCTAGTGTTACTGGAATGTCAGCACTGATGTCTACCTCAGTCCTTGTGACCAGGGTCGAGAGGAATTCAGGCAAGACATGGAAAAGCAGTGAAAGTGAGAGTAAAATTTATTAGGAACGGAGTACACATCCAATAGACTGAAAGCAGATCATCTCTAAGGTGAGAACAAGAACAATTGTTTTTACCTTGGCACCAGCTTCTATTGAAGTGTAAGGGGCTTGGAGTGATAAGTCCTTCCTTATGACCAGCCAATGAGGTTGAAGTCAAAAGTAGGGTCAGATTTATAAGGAACAAATTGTTAGGTCTACCTGACCACCTGGATATGGTTTACAAGCCTGGGTCTTTGTTTTATTAAGTAAAGATTTATTGTTTCAGGGCCTGGAGGTGTAGCTCGAGCAGTAGAGTACAAGCACTAAGAAGTCCTGAGTTCAAACTCCAGTCCCACAAAAAAAAAACCTGTTTTTCCGGAATTGATATCAACCCACTTTAGGGTGGATTATTCTAAACATTTTGTGACAACCAGGACCTTAGCAGGCTATTGTGATATTAACAGAGGATGTTTAAAAGTCAGAAAGTTTGGAGCCAGGCACTAGTGGCTCATGCCTGAAATCCTAGCTTCTTGGGAGACTGAGATTGGGAGGATTGAGGTTTGAGGCCAGCCTTGACAAACAGTTCAAGAGACTCCATCTCCAAAATAACCAGAGCAAAGCAGACTGGAGGTATGGCTCAAGTGGTAGAGTGTCTGCTTAGCAAGTGTGAAGCCGAGTTCAAACCCCAGTCCCACCAAAAAAAAAAGTCAGAAAGTTTGGGCTGGAGGTATGGCTCAAGTGGTAGAGCACCTGCCTAGCAAGTTCCAGACTCTGAGTTCAAACCCCAGTACCGCCAAATGAAAAAAAAGAGAGCTGCAAAGTGTAATCACAATGTCTTTCCTCTGAGAGACCTTGAAGAATGGTTCACTCTAAGTTCCCTTTGCACATCCATCACTCATGGCTAACTGCTACCTAACATTCCATGCCAAGTCCCAGTGGAAGGAGTGCAAGACCATAATTTCTATGACTCCTTTTCAGGCTCTAGAGCCTTTGGATCTGTCCCACGGGCCCCAGTTCCCACCAGCTGTCTCCATCCCACTGTCTTTCCACACCAGCACAAGGGGAGTAAATGTAACCAGTGGTCACTGGTTGGAGCAGTAAGGGCAAATTATTTTTACACTTGTTGGAGTGGTAGGGAAAAGTTATTCAAGGCTATTGCAACAAAGGTCACAACCATAGCAACAGGAGGGGCTGGTCATTCTCAAGTCCACATGCAGCAAAGACAGTAGGGTGACAGGATCCATGGATGGAAAATTACCAAGAAGAAACATCAAGGTAAGGGAAGAGGGAATTTTTTTTTTTTTTTTTGTGGTACTAGGGTTTGAACTCAGGGCCTACACCTTGATCCACTCCACTAGCCTTCTTTTGTGATGAGTTTTTTCCACATAGGATCTCAAGGAACTATTCGCTCAAATTGGCTTCAAACCTCAAACCTCCTGATCTCTGCCTTCTAAGTAGCTAGGATTACAGGCATGAGCCACTGGCACCTGCCCAGCAAGGTAAGGGAATTTTTTGTTAAACTGGCTTAACAGGTAGACCAAGGACTTACAGATCAATAGTGAGAAATGAGGAAGTTGGTCAGATTATCAAGATGAAGAGGATATGACTTGCCAGGATCTTCGCTAAGACTGACTCTGACAGAACCCAAGAACCAGCCTTGTCAAAAAATAAATAAACAATAAATTAAAAAAAAAAAAAAACAGGCCCGAGTGTAAAGTATGATTCAGGAGCTTTGAAGCTAGCCCTTTTTCTCCCTCAGTGTTCTGTGTGTTCCCAACACTTAAACTGAATTCCTACACCAACCCTGCCCACCGTGGAGACTGGGCTCTACTTGGGGACAGATTTCAGCTTTGAAGCTGTTAATAAGAGAAGCCAAGACTAGCACGGGCTGGGGATGTGAAACAGAAGAGCCCCGTCCCCAGAATTCTCATCAAGCTGAAACTTACTTCCCACCTTTGTCCCCAGGGAACACCCTCAACATGAAGCAATCAACGGCAGTGAATGTTTAAAGAGAATCCATGCGGAAGCTGAGACCCGGACTCGATGAGGAGCCAGAAAGGAGTGTCATTGGTGTGGGTCCCCAGCAGTGTTTACCATGCAACAAGCCAGAAATGGAAAAGCAAAAGGACCAAGAAATATGCACCTAGGGCAAGGCCTGGCACCTTGTAGATGCTTGGTTAGTAGTTATTGAATAAGTGGATTCAAAAGCCCATTGCTAGTTCTAAAATGCTACATTACTAAGACAAAGGGACTCACTAGAATGATAGTACACTTCTGTAATCCCAGCACTTGGGAGGCTAAGGCAGGAGGCTCATGAGTTTGAGGCCAGCCTTGGCTGCATAGGGAGTTCTAGGCCACCTGAGCTACAGAGTAAGACCCTATCTTAAAAATAAAGACAAGGGCTGGTGGAGTGGCTCAAGTGGTAGAGTACCTGCCTAGCAAGTGTGAGGCCCTGAGTTCAAATCCCAGTACTGCCACAAAAAAAAAAAAACCACAAAAACAAGGGACTGACACTACAACATGGATGAACCTTGAAAACATTATGCTAAGTGAAATGAGACAGATACAGAAGAACAAATACTATGTGGTTCCACTTATGTGAGGCACCCAGAATAGGCAAATTCACCAAGGTAGAATAGTTGGTTATGAGGGGCCAGAGGGAGAGGTAACAGGGAGTTACTGCTTGTTGAGTACAGGCTGTCAGTTTCTGGAGATCTATGCTGGTGACAAAGGCATAATAGTATGGATACACTTAAAACCACTGAATTGTACCCTTAAGATGATCAAAACAGTAAATGTTATATTATGTATAACTTACCACAATAAAAACATTTAAAAGGATGTTGACATTTTGCTTGGGATACATTGAAGAAAAAAGACAAGGGGTATAACACAGTGGCTTGCTGTTTTAGCACAGGAGAAACTGAAGAAATAGGGACTGGGGGTGACGTTCAATGGTAAAGCACTGCTCACCTAGCAAGTTCAATACCCAGCACTGAAAAAAAAAAAAAACAAAACCAGGAAAAGAAACTGAAGAAATGGTGCCCCAATAGCTCATGCTTGTACTCCTAGCTACTTGGGAGGTTGAGATCAGGAGGATCGTGTTTCAAGACCAGCCCAGACAAACAGTTCAAGAGACCCCATCTCCAAAATAACCAGAGCAAAATGGACTAGAGGCATGGCTCAAGTGGTAAAGTGCTTGCTTGCAAGTGTGAAGCCCTGAGTTCAAACCCCAGTCCCACCCAAAAAAAAAAAAAAAGGTTCTTTCCAACCAGAAAAAAGGAATAATCACAGCCCACTTTTGCTTCAAACCAAAGAGATTTTAATGGCGTTTGTCTATTTCCCAGATCCCTAATAAGGGTGGTCTCGCACATGCTCCATGATGGTCTTCAGGCCAAGCCAGGTCTCTTCCGCCGTGGGCAAGATCTGCGTGGCTGGCAGGAGGAAGCCATAGCGGCCCGTGTCTCTTAGTTCAAAGGCGAATGAGTATTTGATGCCAGAATCATAGGACCAATCGATGCTTCCACCACTGGCTTGGTCTGATGGACAAATGAGAATAAAGTCTGGTTATGTTATTCCCTCCGGCCTCTCATGTAACCTCCACATTGGGTTCCATCATGATCAAAGATAAATCAGGCCCCTGTGTACATGGGCTGGGGAGCAGGAAGCGTTTAATAGAGGCTCACACTTAGGAAAGAATACAAGAGTAATTTGAAAAGCAAAAGGTTTTATTCAGAGGGACTCTATACTTAGCCTTTCTCTGGTGTTCTAAGGAGCCTCTGACTCTACCCACCCTCTTTGGCATCCTGCCTGTTGCTCTAATTGGCATCTTCCCCGGTTTTGGGAGGTCACACCATTTCCACAGCACTTTGTCCATTAGAAGGCACAGGCACTGTTTCTCTAGTAGGAGAGGAGGGATTACAAATGGAGTGAGAGATTTGGTTCCTGCCCTCAGGGGACTCTCACACAAGGCTCTACTCTGATGTCATATCCAAGGCCCAGAACCTCTGCTGAATGGTTAAGCCAATACAGTAATGTGCACCTGAGAGACGTGTGGCCACTGACGTGATAGATGATGAAGGAAGATGGCACTAGTGTGTGAAGACCTGAGGCATCATGACTTGGAAGAGCTAAGCAATGGGCTGGCCCTGAGGTCCCTCCCACAAAGGGCAGGTAGAGGTCAAAAGGAGGACATGGCTGGGGCTGTCCCCACGGAGGAAGTGACATGGCACCTAAGAATTGCATTGGAAAGACTACAAAGGTTGTGTCAAGAAAGAGTAAAATTGGAGGTTGATATTATGAATTATTAATTAAACTTAAGGTTTAAGTTTCCCTTATCCAAAATGCATGGGACTAGAATTGTTTTGGATTTGGGACTTTTTTCAGATGTCAGAATACTTTTATATACATGACAAGATATCTTCAGGATAAAACTCAAGTCTAAACATAGACTTCATTTATGTTTCATATATACCTAACACACATAGGTTGAAGGGAATTTTGTACAATGTTTTTGGTGTGCCTGTGTTTTGATTCATAGGTCAGGTGTGGAATGTGCCACTTGTGGTATCATGTTGGTGCCCAAAAGGCTCTGGATTTGGGAGCCTTTTGGATTTTCAGACTAGGAGTGCTCAGCCTGTGATACTGAGAGCTCCTCTGACTTGGGACTTTGTCTTCACTCACAGTAGCCAACATAGTGCCTGGTGAATAACAAATGCTAAATGCTTACTGACTTGAACTCAATCTTCCCTTGGGACTAAAACTACTCCCTTATCCTTTGACGTGGTTACAGAACACAGGCCATCCTACTAACAGTTTTCGAGGGGCTCCAACACTTGCTCCAGACTCAATCCTGACCTTGCAAATCATTAGGTATGATCTACAACAAATCACTTATCTCCCTGAGTCCCAAGATGCTTCATTTGACAAACAGGGATGATATATTCCTTACTAAACAGGGCAGTGAGAATCCAATGTGATAATTTAAGTTAGGATTATCACATCTGCCGAGTGCTCACTGAATGGGTTAGGCTAGCTTAAAGCCTACCTCAGTCGGGTAAGTTTAATATTGTTCTCATTTTACAGATGAAGAAACAGAGAGAGAGATTAAGTGAAGAAGTTATGATGTTACACAGAATAGGCATTCAATAAATGGCAGCTATGGTTATAAGTGTCATTGCCAATAAATGACTAGGATCTGGTCAAGTTAGACCATATTAAGAAATATCTAGGGAAAAGCAGCTCACCAGAAGACTCAATCAATGTTTATACAGAGCTTCACAGTTACTGAATACTTTTATTCCACATATTATTTTCTGAGCCTCTCAACAACCCACTTTACAGATGAAAAATCAAGGGAGAATGAGTGACTAGCCCAAAGGGACTTGGTTCCAAAGTGACAGAGCTATACTGCCTCTGTGTTTTTCCATTTACCTCCCTGGGGAAGAAATCAAGGGACACCGTCTCCTGGACCAAACAGGAGCAGGTGCAGCTATCACAGTGCAGCTCCTCCCAGTACTCTGGTGGGAAGCCACTCAGGAAATCCACCCACCTCTCAGATGAAAAGAAGCAGGGGCTCAGTCCAGAGCCACACCAGCTGAGGCAGGAGGCAAGAGTACTTAACTGGGACCAGTTCTTAGAGCTGGAGTGAGGCAAAGGTACCATAGTCAGCTCTGGGCAGAGATGCAGGCAGAACTTGAGTGAATGAATGAATGGTCACACAACAAACCTATATTCGTCTGATAGTTGCTTATTAGAAATGTGTTGATACCTGTGTCTTCACCAAGAAAAATATACTGGCCCTCAATCTTCCAAGGTCTACCTTACTTAGAAAAACTCCCAGACTAGGTTGGTGAAAAACTAGATTCCTTACAGCAAAATGGCTGAGATGCACATGGGGGTCTCGGGAGTACACAGTGTCATTCAGCCGCTTTTGTGAACGCCAGTCTCTACTCAAAGGCTGCCAACCAGAAAAAGGCACACTCCTCAGTCATAAGTTGTCATCATGGTCTCAAGCTATGTTCCCTCAATGCCACTGCCACCACTCAGAGGCCCCTGAAGAGTCTCACTGATAAAAGGGAAGACAAGTCCACATGGAACATGGTTTAGAAGGTCTAGCACCTGAGAGCAGTCAAAAAAATACATAACAGACGCTCTGAAGTTGCTCATTACATTTGATTTGGTAATCTTGCTTTGGTAAAACATCCCCAAAAGGTCATCTAATAGGAAAAAGAGTTTATAAAAATATATTCAACTTTTAACAAAGAGTTGAAACAATCTAAAGACCCAATAACCAGGATTTAACAATATAATAGAATAACAAATACCTAGGATGTAAATACATCACACTCTACAGGAAATGGTGTTAACTTTAAATGGCTGAGTACAACACAGACATTGATTAAATTAGATTGATACCTTCATGCTCATTGATAAAAATCATTAGTGAAATTGAAAATGACAATAAAGCATGATGATCACTGGATTCTTTTCTCTAGTTATTTAATGGGTCATAAACAGCAAAATAGGTAGATAGATAGATAATAAAAGCAAAACCAAAAAGAAACCTAACAATTTTGAGAAAAGAGAAAATTCTATAACATGTAGTGTCAGATCAAGTTTTTCACTTCCATGAAGAGTACTAAATAGTGAGTAAAATATCACTCCTTCACTAAAGAAGACTCCCATTAAGAAAACTATAACTAAGAAGTGAGCAGCCCACAGATTCTCTCCTGCCCATTGCTCCAACCTTACTACCTACCTCTGTTGCCTCTGCCTAGCCCTTTCCTTCTCCCTCCTCTGCAACCATACTGTTGACTGACATTTCCTCTCTCTCCTGTAGCTTGAACCATATATCTTGTCTCAAAAAGAAAGGACAAGAAGGAGGAAGGGAGGGAAAGAGAGAGAGAAAGAGAAAGAAAGAGACTGTTCCTTTGAGGGATTCAGAATTTACACCAGGTACATTGGGATCTTGCACAGCACTGTACTACAATCCACTAGGACAGAAAAGTCTCCCTAGACTTATTCCTGAAATCGCTCTTATTCCCCACATCTCTCCTCCTTATCTCTCCAGACACTGGTCTTTTTGTTTTGATTTGGTTTTGGTTTGGGATGTTGTTGTTGTTGTTTTGTGTATGTGTGTCACAGGCTGGGGATTGAACCTAGGACCCTGTATATGCTAAGCATACATTCTACCACTGAACTATGCCCCAACCCTTCTCCAGGCCCTTTGTACACACCTGTTCTGTATACACTCCCAGTCCATGGGGTTGCTCAGAGCCAGGAGAAGGAAGAAGAATAAAAGAGCACAACTGCAGGGTTAGGCCTTGATAAAGGCCCATTTTTTAGGCAGAGTCCACACAATGAGAGTGAACCATAAGGATCTAGACAAGCTTAGGCTAGAGCACAAAGCTTACATATTCAGGAAGTTCTTTGTTCTAGATATCACACAGTAAGTATTTCAGGGAGGAGCCTAGATTTACTAAGGGAAATTGGGAAAGAGTGGGTTCCATGCATGAAGGTCTATTCCTTTCAAATCAAGCTGGGCATGGTGGCACATACCTGCAATTCCAGCACTTAAGAGGTTAAGGCAGGAGGATGGTGAGTTCAAGGCCAGCCTGGGATACATAGTGAGACTGTCTCAAGGAAAAAAAAAAAAGCTCAGTCCAAGCTCACATGGTGCCTGTCATTTTTTGTGGGGGTGGGGGTCTGGGGGCTTCACACTTGCAAAGCAGGCACTTTACCACTTGAGTCACATCTCCAGCCCATTTTGCTCTGGTTGTTTTGGAAATGGAGTCTCTTGAACTATTTGCCTGGATTGGCCTCCAACCATGATCTTCCTGATCTCAGCTTCCCAAGTAGCTAGGATTGCAGGCGTGAGCATGGTGGTGCCTGTCATCTTAGTGGGTCATTTGTACAAACTCACAGCACACTACTGTACTTACAGATGACTGAGCAGATTGGTCCCACTTCGTATTTGGTACCATGCAGGCTTGTCAGAGACTGGGCAGCCTTCTGGGCCACTTCATCCTAGAGGTTGAGAGCCAAAGAAAGGAGGATGGATGACTCTTGTCTGTTGGGAAATTGGTTGCCCAATAGAAACATAAAGACCAGGACTTCTGGTTATCTTGACTCTCTGGATAGCTGAGACATAAGTGCGTGTTCTTTTTTGTTTCAATCACTTTCACTGAGAAGTAAGCACAAGTCTGTTGGCTTTGAAAGTACAACCTGAAGACCTTCATTTTTTGTTTAATCATCCAGGTTTGCATTCCTCCAGGGTTTATTATTTTACCTCTCCTTGTTCAGGAGTGTGGATGGAAATAGGGTAGGTGTAAAGGTGTTGAAGAGAATGCATTCTGACCCCAAGATGTACCCAGGAAGTTGATTTTTTTACTAGATTCTTACACTGGCTTATTTCCCTGTGATTGTCTCTTTTTCCAAGAAGTAGAGCTCCACAGACTATTTTCCATTACTTGAGAGTTCCAATTTTGACTGATTGAGGCTTTACTGTCCTTGCTAAGGATAAATGTAAGGTCTTGAACTTGGGTCCAGGAAAACAACTGTACAATTACCAGATGGGGGAAACCTGGCTCGAATGGAGCCTCAGAGAGCCTGGGGGTTTCAGTTGTCAATGAGCCCAACATGAGTCAACGTCACGGTGCTGCTGCCAAAAGCTAATGTGACCCTCAACTGTATTAGCAGAAGTGCACAGTCTGGATGACAGCAGTTAAGGCCATGCTCTGCTCTGCACTGGTTAACCCACAGCACAAGTTTTATATTCACTTGAAGAACACAGACAAACCAAAGCATGCTCAGAAAACAGCAACCAGAATAGTAAGGGAACTTGGGCTCAAATGGTGAGTCCTTAAAGAAATTGGGCTCGCTTAGGAGGGAAAAGGAAAGATGGAGGAGAAGCAGGTCACTACTGGTGTTTAAGTAATTAACCGATCTCCTCCAAAGGGAAAATAAACTGACTCAACAGAGTCAGATGATAAACCAGGGCTGGTAAGAGACACACAGGGACAGATTTTAGCTCTCTATAAGGAAGAACTCTAATGCTTAAACTTGACCCCAACATGGACTTGGTTCTCTTGGAGGCAGAAAGCCATCCAATCTATGACTATGGCTGGTAGCCTCAGGATGGTAATTTAAGGTTATCTGGGTCTATTTAAAGAACATTTTAGGTTCCTTCCAAGCCTGACATTCTTTTTCCCTGATTCAACTTTGGTAATAGTCACCTCAAAACTCTGAAAACTACCCTACAGGTCTAAAATCCTACTGATGAGATGAAAGATACATCTGAATTGGAAAAATCTATTCTATTTCTGCCTGTGGCTACTGACAACAGTCTGTTTGAAGGTAAATTGTCCAAAAGGTCCTAATTCTATACTCCTCCCTGATACATGAGTTTCAAAAAACAAGCATAAAAGTCAAACTGGAAATATCTTCACGTTCTCTTCAGCTGGGGACAGTTGTTACTCAATTGTGAACAGCTTCCTGAGATGTCACCATCTGACCCAAGGCTGTGCCCAATTTGCTTATTTTTGAAACAGGAGAGATGACAGAAAAGTCAAGTTAGAGAAGGAAGAATTTTAAACCCCACATTGTATACAGTGTATTGCCATGGCAGGCCATACAGCCAAAGTCCCCATGAATGTACTTTGTGTGTTTCAGGGAGCAGCACTGCTTCTCACAGAGCATCTGTAAACCAGTCAAAGTGCCTCAGATGCAAATCCACATTTTTTTTTCCCCCTAAGCTATAGAGAGCACATCCTAGGAATTTATGGTCAAAGCAGGTTTCTGAAGCTGGGCATGGTGGTACATGCCTATAATCCCAGTACTCAGGAGGCTGACACAGGAGAATAGCAAGTTCAAGGTCAGCCTGGGCTACATAATGAGACCCTATCTCAAAAAAAAGTTAATTAGTTCACTTAATTTAAAACCCCCATTCCTGCTCATCTAGATTAAAGTTAAAAATATATACCCACATATACACATATGTATATATGTGTGTATATATATTTTATGGTACTGGGATTTGAACTCATAGCCTCACACTTGCTAGGAAGGCACTGTACCACTTGAGCCATTCAACCAGCCCTGAAGTAAATATAATTTAATGCATTCTGTTTCCCAAAGAAACTTGGTTTAGGAAAGTCTTTCACACCTTTGGCTGCATTGCACATGTCACAGTAGTTAGACTTAGGCCTTGCCACCTTTATAACCTGTCATTAGTATACTCTTCAGTGCTAAACTTTATGACTGGAACTTACTTGTGCACACAATGGATGTTGTTGCTGAGATAAAATAAAGTATCAGAAACTCACCAGCTCAACAAAGTTATCTAACTTGGTACATTTGTACCCGTAGGGGAACATGAGAAGCTGGGAATAGCTGTGGAGGGTAAGGAAAGCCTTGACTTGTCCATGACTCTTTACGAAGTCCACTATGGATTTCACTTCCACTTCTGAGTTGGCCGTAGATCCATGGTATGAATCGGAGCAAGGGCTGCTACTGGCTCCAGGTCCTGGTGGGAAGCAGAAGAGGCCCAGTGAGGACAATAGGCTTTAAGAAGACACTATAAGGATGAGGTTATCATCCCATCCATGGATCCTCTTCTAGAAATCAGAGCAAGACCGGCATTGTGTCAGGTCAAGTCTCTTCCTAAGGGTACAGGCAGGAAGACTAACTGAAGTGATTCTGGACACATCTCTTCTTTAAAAAATATGGTTCCTCTATATGGCAGAAAGAGCTATCAAATTAGATCATCTCCTCTCTGTGGGAGTTGTTGGAATGAATGCTAGATTTAATATTATAGATGGAATTCTTGCATTTGGGTGGGAGGTTAGCAAGTTCATTTTCTGGGATCTCTTCCAATTTTGTAGTGTCCAAGAGAAGAAGTCTGTACACGTCTGTACTTCCAAGTCACAAAACAAATGCAAGGAACCTCTGACACTCTTCCTGCAGCAAGGAGATCACAAGTACATTCAACAAGGCCACCAGTACCCTTGATTCTCTCATCAACCAGAGTTGCTCAAGACCACTGAAGGGGGGTCATGGTCAGCCTAGCAGGGGCTCTGAATGCCAGAGAACCTCTTAGACGACAAGTAGGCTCTCTAAGTGACATGGACAAAATGTAAATACAACTTCTGTCTTCTTATGTTAAAATTATTTAATAAGAACAACATTCCAGGAAAAATTGTCATTGAATGTTTAATATTTTGGGTCTGGTGCTTTGATTATTTTCTCCGTATGTCAAAATAAAGAAATAAATTCTAAAAGCAATGACTGAAGCTGCCACTCAGTCTTATCCAGTCATAATTCCCTAGTGTGCCCTGTCTCAGTTTCATTCATTTGTTTTACAAATATTGAGTGATGGCCTTCTACGTGAAAAAGAGCCAGCTCCTAACCTCACTGTAATTGTAGGTTAGTGAGGAAAAACCAAACAAATTTCAATTCTGTGATTAGTGGCGCACAAGGAGGTTTAAAGGGTGCCTGAAACTATAAAGCAGTCCTAACTAGCCTTCCACTAGACTCCAAAACAGAAGAGCTGCAAGTCAACAACAGCACAGCAGCAAGCTAACGTTTTATCTTTGAATCTATTTCAAAAATCAATTTCTTAATCCTATTTGTACTTCTTTTCTAAGTTTTCCTTCTCGAAGCATCCATAGATGATGTAATGCTTCTCCTCCAGATAGATCTTAACCCCCTCTAGTGGTTGGTTCAGGGCTTCCTGAGCTCCCGCCATTGTGCAAATTCTGGCTCCCTCAACTCAGAAGCTTAACCTGGCTACAGCTTGTGGGAAAACCAAACTGTGAGACAAAATATATTAAATGCTGCTCAGAGCTCTGTGACAGCATCACGCTCCTGTGAAGACAATTTAGTGAAGTGTTTTTCAAAGAGGTTTTTAAATGGCTTGAATCTTAAATGAGCAGAGCACTGACGCACTGCAGAGCCCTGAAAGCCAACGAGTGGACCAGACAACAGCCTGACCGTCCCTGATGGCGGGGGGAGGGGGCAAGTCCCCACGCTCACCTCCAAAACCTGCATCCCAGTTCCGGTTAGGATCCACACCCACACACAGGCTTCCAGATACCTTGGATCGGGTCTTTCTCCACATACGATCCTTTAAAAATCCAACCCCAAAAAAATATGGAAAAAAGAAAGACAGTCATTCAGTCTGATGAGCCGGTCCCTTCAGCATTCTGTCCTCTTTCCTTGTTCCCTCCCAAGAAGGGCCCTCTGGAATTGCTCTCCTTTCCCTGACCCCAGAGGTGTGATCCCCACCCCCACAGGATTCACTTTGACTATTTCCCCATCTCCTTAAATAAACGCCTGCCAAACCACGTTCCAGAAAGCACTAGTTCTGTGAAATGCTAACAACTACCACCACAAAAAGGCAAGGGGGAGAAACGGAGCTTTGTGCAAGAATATTTTGTGAAAATATGGAGCTAAATTGGTAAATGTACTGCAGAACTGCAAAGGTTCTTTTGCTTTCATTGTTTTTTATGAACCTCCGAGGAGGACATAGAGAGCAGTATTTCCTAGACTTGCCCACAGAACCCTTTATTCATACCACATCTCATGGGACGAGTACAAGCGTTAGTATGAGTTTCTTTGATAGCACTACTGCCATTGTCACCAGCTCTCTATAAGAATAAACTGGAAGCTCTGATTCATTTTGAAAATACAAGTGATCACAATTGCCACAATAGTGTTTTGTAATGAGATTTTAGAAGGGGGGAAAACCCTTTATAACTCTTTTTGGAAATATTAGCAAGCATTTCTTCTACAGATTGTAAGTAAAATGCTAGGATGCATTATACAGCAAACTAATCTTCAGCAGGTAACATCCGCCTCCTCTTGTATCAATCCCCCCACAAAAAAACGCAGAGATAATTGGAACCGATCTCCTAGGTGACTCACGGTGAACACTGTGCTCTAATGGCCCAGCCTAACAGCCGAAATGGGCTCTGGCTGAGGCGACATGTAAAGACATCGTGTGTTGGAATAAGAAGTGATTATAAACACTTCTTTGTGCCTCATTTCAGGGCCACTACTGAGAGGCTGGGCATTCTATTTAGTAAATCAAGAGCAGAAAGATTACTTTTATTTGCTTTTCAGAGTTTCTGCACATCTCCTTTCAGTCCTTGTGGAAGAAGACAAAAAAAAAAAAAAAAAAACCCAGGCTTACTTTGGTTTGAGAGTACACGTATCCATCGGGGTTTGTGACAGGCAGTAGGAAGATATCCATCGCATCCAGAATGGACGTGATGGACGGATCAGTTCCATAATCAGAGGCGATCTAAGCAGAGACACGGACATGTCAACCTCATACTCCCCTTTTGCTGGGAACAAGGGGAAAGAATATTAAAACAATGTGGTTTTTTTTTCCAAATGTAAACAAGGGAATCACTGTTGATTAAAGAGAAATCTTCCAGTTCAGTCTCTTGCAGTGTTAATAAATTTAATACGCGAATGTCTATACTTTCATTTCTGGTCACGATAATTCACTTCTATTAAATAAAAGTTATCATGTATCCATGCTCTCTTAAAAGCAGTAACATTCTTCTTTCTAATTCTGGTAAGGCATTTGGCAATGGTGGACCATGGTTATGTGTAGTTTATGTGAATCTATGAACCAAAGAAAAATTTTTTAATATTCCTTAATCTTACACAGGATAACTTTCCAAAAGAACTCAGGACCAAGGTCAGATTACTTAAATATTCAGAGACCTTACTGAAGATACAAAGGAACCGGTTAAATTCCATTTGGGGAATTACATTTTTACTTGCAATCAATTGCGGTAGACTTGAAGTTTCTGCTGGATTAAAATTTATTCATTTCCTGTGCTCAGCCATCCTAAGGCATTATTATTCAACTGTTAAATATCCATTTCATAATACCCTAAAGGTAACCGCATTTTAATTGAAGGGAAAAACGTGTCAGTCAGTATGCACGTGGTTGCACATGCTTGAATGATCTGATGTGGACTGATTTCCTTTGCTCATGAATTAACATTCTGATATATAGCATGTCATTTTTGAATTACTTAAGAAATTCCAGACTAGGTCACACCCAGCCCCATGTCCTGACTCTCTTGCCAACGAACGTGTGGAAGAGAGGTATTGCTACATCCTGACTTCAAAATCAGATTTGGGAAATATTCAAAACAATCCCAACGCTCTCAACAAATTCCGCTTTGGATCTGTAGGTCAAAGTAAGCTCTTCTTGCACCTTTTTCTGTTTTCTGCCTGAGCCCTTTCAGGATGTTATAGATTCTAGCACATCATGCCTTAGCCCTGAGAGTCTGAGCAGCAAACTCTAATCTGTTTTTATGCTGAAATCTGACCCCTGGGGGCCTGCCTTCCTGCCACCATGTCCATCTCCTCTGGCTGGCCGTGTTTTTTAGCAGAGTGCACAGTAGTTGGCCCAGGGGCACCGTGCTATGGTACTGGATGGGGCAATACCAGAAAAGGCTGACTGGATTTGTTTCCTGCCCATGTGCTAAGAGAAGGACTGTCCGCAAGCACCAGCCTTCCAGCCCCCAGAGACTATTGTGTGCTTGCTTGGTGTGCCTGACCCCAGAAAGTCAAAACAAGTGAGGATTTTTCTGTAAAATGACCTTATTTGCTGTCCACATCGCGGTAGCTTGTGTAACCCACTCTCGAGCATGGATCCCCGCATCTAGCCAGATGGCTGGTTTGTGTCCTCCGGTGCTGAACTGAAAAAAGGATGGGCAGTGTAAACGGCTCCATTGCCATGGGCACCTCACCCTCTCCCCCTGGTCCTTCCAGTCCCTTTGCTGCTCTTGTTGTGATAAAGAGAAGAGGAGAGGAGAGAGTGACACTGTGGATTCTTTTTAGTTAAGGTGTTGCTGATTTGGGTTTATTTGGTTTTTTTTTCTTTTTTCTGGTCCCCTTCATTTAACATAAACTTAAATGCAGGCTGACAAGAGGCAGACTTTTCCTCCTTTGATATTTGTTTTAAAAAAAAAATCATTGCAGATAATGTAATGACATAAAAATACATTCACGTGCTATAAATTGGGAGGGAAATAGGTGACAGAATAGCATGTAATTTTGAAAAGACTAATTCGTGTGTGTGTGTGTGTGTGTGTGTGTGTGTGTGTGTGTACACGGATGACAGAAAGGGAAGTGGGAGGAATAAGAAAAAGAAGTAAAAAAAATGTTTACAGCTATCATTCCATTGATGTGAAATTAGAATTACAAGGATTTTTCTTTTTTGTTTCTCTATTTTCCAAATTTATGCAAGGACTGTACTATCTTAGTTCTATGAATGCTCACGATAACCTTTGAGACCTTCATAAAAACAGAATGGCAAGCTCCAGAGGTGCTTTCCAGAGTCTAAGTTTTAAGATCTAAGTGACTTTAGTATTATTTGGAACCATAGCTTTGCCAATTGGATCAGTAAATGGGGATGAAAAGATTATTTGGGCACCATCAACTTCTGCCTCTGTGCAGCACCCAAAACACAGCAGAGAAGGTAAGTGAGAAATGCAAATCCTTGTTAAAAATTCTTTTTCACAGGTTTGAGGAGTTTTAATTCAAAGAGTTTTGTGCCTTTTCCTCCAAAGAGCTCAAATGTAAAAAGCAGGGAACTTTCAAAACCACAGGATAGCCTCAACCACCAAACCACTTGGAAAAGGGAAGGCCGGGAACATCCAAGGTGGAGGAGTCTAGGGTTTCCTGACCCGTGGTAGGAGAAACTAGGTAAAGGAGCGAAAAAGAAGGGAGTGTAGTAAACATCAGCAACCATACCCCATGTCACAAAGTAGGCAAACCACTCCCCCCAGACCTGCTTTGGGAAAGCCTGCTCTGGAGAAACCCATCTGTCCCAGTTAGTGGGTTGGTTCTCAGCCATGTTTCCAAATTTAGCTGAGAGTTGTGACATTACTCCCCCCTCTTCCCCTCCTTCACAAGCTCTTTCTAGGAAGTCTGGGAAATAATTTTCACTCTTTTTTCAGGGCAAAGTGCAAAAGTTTGAAACTCTCAGTATTGAAACTACAAGCGGTCACAACCTGCTGTAAAACCTTAGCCCTTTTTCATCTATCACCTAAAAAGCATCTTCCCTTCAGGGCATTTGCCTTTGCGGTTCAGCCGCCTGTCATCCTTCTGCACATGGCATAACTGTTTTTTGTTTTGTTTTGTTTTTAATGCAGTTCAGGCAAATGCCTGCTTTTATTTTATTTTTCTAATTAGCTTTTAAAAAGAAAAGGTAAAGAAAAAGAGAAAAAGGCAGAGAATTCTCAGCTTGATTAATTTCAGAGTGTTCCCTCCCCTCCCCGCCTCCTCTCCCCTCCCCCCTCCCCGCCTCCTCTCCCCTCCCCCTCCCCGCCTCCTCTCCCCTCCCCCTCCCCGCCTCCTCTCCCCTCCCCCTCCCCGCCTCCTCTCCCCTCCCCCTCCCGCCTCCCTTCCCCCTCCCAGGTTCCTATTGGCTCGTTGGCCCTGGTTCCCTGCAAGCGCATCCATCAGGACAAGAGCATCAATTCTCTCCTGCAGACCTGCGTCAGCTTGCGCAGGAAAACAAAAAAAAGAAAAAGCAAGGGGGCGGGTGGTGCGGCTGCTCAAAACCAGCAAGGACCGGTTAGAAGAAGGGAAGGAAAAAAAAAAGGGGAAAAAAAGACCATTCTGCGGGCCCAGCTGGGAGGGGCAGGGTTCTAGAAGCATCGAAAGCTAAAACCACTGCAGTCTCCTTCTGTACCTTGAGCACATCCATGGGCCTGTTTTCAAAAGAAGAACCAATATTCACTCTGCTCACTAGACCAGGGTGCTCAGCCACGAGGTTATCCATTTCTTGGGAGATCTGAGCAAATGAACAGATAAACATTTGCAAATGATTACATGCCTCGATTGGTGACTTTCTTCTCTCACCTCCATTCGCATTTCCTGGGGACAGAGTGGAGCCACAAGCTAGACAGGGGCTGGAGAAAGGGTTGAGGGAAGTTTGCGTCCTAGCTCAGGGATGATGAGTCATTCTGGTAGGGAAAAGCCATTTTATGAGCTCCCTTCTTTTCAGTTCCGTGCAAAACAAAATGACACTTGTTTGGCGTGCCTGTGGCTTTCCCGGACCCCTTTGCAGCTTCCCCAGCTAGGAAGTTTCTCCCTTTTGCTAGCAGGAAAAAAATGCAAAATTTATTGGTACCAAAAAAGATGGAGTTAGGGGCTAGGGATACGAAATGTAGCAGAGTTAGTGCAGGCCCAGGGACAATGGGGCGCCTGCCACTGGCTCCTCGGGCTCCTGTTTTCAAAGCTCATTGAAATTCTGTGCATCTCCAGGAAGCCAGGCTGCTTCCATTGATGGGACTGAGACCTGCGCTACGGTCTGGAGGGCTACTAGGATGAGAACAGCCTCTCCAGCTGTTGCCAGCATTTGCTGTGGCACACACCAGTTTGTGGGACCACCAAAGGGGAGAGAGTGTGCATCTGGTTTCTTCCACTCGATTTTCTTTTTCACGCCAAACTAAGATGTATGTCTTTCTTGAGGGGCAGATTTTGTAGAATGGTGACAGCAAGCATATATTGTATATTACAGAAGGGAGGCTGCTCTGTGTTCAAGAACACTAAATTTCTGGTAGTGAAACAAATTAGCAAGTCAGTTTGGGTCAGATTTTAGCTCTCAAAAATGTTTAGATCAGAGAAGTTTTTGCCACAAACAAACAAAAAAGCCAGAGCTAGTATGCATTTTTAAACTGCTGATTTGGAGGGGCTGGGGATGTAGTTCAGTGATTGAGTATTCGCCTATCATACATACACAAGGCCCTGGGTCAGTTCCCCAGTATGAAAAAAAAAAGAATGCTGATTTGGAGACTTGGTACCTACCAGGCACTTCCTCTGGCTCTTCTCTACCCACCTCACCCCTTAATCGCTCAATGTCATCTTCTGCCCCCTTTCTACCTACCACACTGAAAGTTAATACAGACAGACCCCTATGGATCCCAAGAATAGCTCTGTATCTCAGAGATAAATGCAGCACTGCCCAGGTACCATCTAGCAACATGTGACACAGATGGAGAAATGGACCAACAAAACTCAGGAAAGACAGTCAAGACTACATAGACTTTGCTACAGTGCAGCCTTAGAGGCCTGGGCAGGCAATCAGACCTTGCCTGGCAATCAGAGGTCTTAAGGTGGTCCATGACTCCATCATAGATGGCAACCAGGAAGCACATTTCTCCAGGGGCTGTGTGGGCAGGGCAGGGCAGAAATTAACAAGAGGAGTTGAGGGGAAGAGAGTGACAGGGATATTTATGGTCTCACTTAAGACACTCTGGACACTTTCAAAATAACCATGTGGCTGTTGTAATGGACAGGAGACTTCAGACCTTGCAGTAAGCTAGGTGATATGGGTACTGGCTATGAGACCTTATGAAACTTGGAGGAGCTAGGGGAAAAATAGAATAAATTCTAGGGCATGAAATCACCATGATGAAGTATTGGTCTTGTCTTCAGAGGAGACACTGGTTCATTTCTCTGACGCTCATGTTGAAACACCTACCTCTTCCAAGGTATGGTAGGCCCCAAAGTTGAAGTTACCATTCCGTTCTCTTCTCTGATTAAGCAACATTTCTTCATTCTCTTGGTCCAACAGAACCTAAGATAAACCAACTCTATGATTAGTTGGTAGCAATCCATTTTTGTCTTCAATTGTAAAGGAAATGGGGACACTCAGTCCCCAGTACCAAGCTTTTCTCATCCTGTCCATACAGTCTAAGTCATGGCCTTCCTTTATTCTGGTAGTACTCTAAAATGGGAGGAGGCATTAATGGAACTGTGGCCAGCCAGCCACTGTGAATATAAGGTGAAAGTTTTTTTTTTTTTTTTTTTTTTTTTGGTGGAACTGGAATTTGAAGTCAGGACTTCCTTCTTGCAAAGCAGGCACTCCACCACTTGTGCCACACCTCCTGACCTCGAAGACAGAGTCTTATGGCTCAGCCTGCCTTTCCGAGTTAACCTCTAATTAAAAACTAATTGACTAACAGCTTATTTTTCCCTGTTTTGAACAACACCCTACAGTGTGCACTTTTTATTTCATGCTACAGTTTCTCTTTTATCCTTTCCTTCAGTTCTTTGTTACCATATTCCATTTGTGCCCAATGCAAATGAGAGAGAGACAGGGCCTCCCTACCACTGTGCAGGGGTAGTCCACACTGAAGATAGACAGGAATGACACCCACAGGTACCTTCTCTGGTAGAGTACTCAAGATCCAGCAAGCCTCTGGGAGGCTGTTCTATGGCATAATTACCTGTACATCCTCAATCATGATGGAATAAGCAATTCCCTGGGACTCCAAGAAAACTTTGACGGCCTGGAGGCTGACAAAGGGAACTCGGACATGGGTTGTCTTCCCTGGGATGGTGGGTAATTTCCAAAAATCAAGCTAGAAAGGATAAAAGGCCAAGACAAGACAATGAGTGGGTTTTTCTGAGGAAATAGACAGTTCAGCATTGATGGGTTTCAATAAATCAATTTGCTATCTGGTTTATTTTGAGCCCACAAAACCAGAATCATTGTGGAATCACTATGATACAGCAGCCAGAGTTTTAAATATCCAAGCATCAGCTTCCCTCCCACTGCCATGGCCAGGAATTAAAACTGGCAGAGGAAAAGATTATTTAACACTATGGCAGTGTTGTTTTTTTTTTTTTTTAAACAACCTGGCATTCAAGTGATCTAATTCATTTCATAATAGGATATCAATCCTATAAATTATTTCAGAAGGGAAATAATGCATTAAAGGTGTTTGACAATTTTTCAAAGTAACTTTCACATTCAATATCTCTTTTCCTTCTAGCAATATGCCTATGACAGAGGAAAAGGGTATATTTTTCTATACCCTGCTTTTCTGATTGGTACAGTAAATCACAGGAAGATCACTTGTCCATTGTCATGGAGTTGAGACTAGAGCCTGGGGTTTTGGAATTCCAGCTCTGTAAGTTACTATCCCACACTATCTCAAAGGAGTCAAAATACAGTTTGACTGTCTGACGACTCGCTGGGAAACAAAAGCCTCAGTTGAACAAATACCTGGAGATGTTCTTCGGCCTCCAGTTGCACCAGACTTTTAATTTGTTCTTCATTGCTTGGGATGATCTCAAGAACTTGGTCTCTAAAGAGTATTAATGACAGACATGACATTAAAAGCAAAACCTGGACACTGTTTCCTGTTGCTTTCTGCTCCTGTCAGCCTCTTCGTATAAGAGATGAGTGTGAATCAATAATGTCTTTGAAAACCCAGAAACTAATAAATAGTATACTGACCCACATCCCTGGAGTGAAGAGGTAGCAGAATGGCTTTATTTCCTCCAAAAAATGTTATCTAAATAATAATTTAGAGGTGTACCTGTTCCTAGCAGAAAGCTTGCCATTAAAGTTACCTTTCCTTTAGCTAATGAGTGTGTGTCAAGTAACACCTGCTGCTCATAAAGTATTGGCTTTTTAAAACAAGTCTGCTCCTGTTTTTCAGAAAGAAGAAAAAAAAAAAGTGGAATAATTAATTTAGTACTTATAAGAGGAATCGGATTGAATCTGGGTAGACCTAAGGTTTTCTGGGCTTGGTTTTTCATTGTGTTGTTTGCGTTTGGTTTTGTTTTTACAACTGAAAACGTATCAGGGTTCCATCTCCAAACCCAAATTTGGGACAGGGAAAATTGGATCCCAAACAAAGCATGCATACAACACGCACTTCCAGTGAGGAATAAAGGATATTAAAGACATCATGGCAGAAAAGAGAAATCCCCAAACTGGCAAATTTATAGTCTTAGAGAAGAGATTGGGTGGAAGAGCTGAACTCTTACAGCCTTTTCCTTGGTGACAGAGCCTTCCCTCTTCTATCCCTTTCTTCAAGCAGGCTGATTTCCTGTGTATGGTTCAGTGGGGAAGGAATAGTGCAATGAGTTATAGACAGGTCTTGTATGAAACCAAGCCTCACAGTTTCCAGTGAACTCTAGTGAAACACACAAGTGATGGAATGCAAGTTCTTCAAAGCTTTTCTGCCTCAAAGTACCCATCTTCCACAAGTGGCTGAAAATTCCTCCACTGGAGTCTCATTACTTTGGGTTAATGCATGGACTCCCAGGAGTCTTCCTTTAAAATGAGAAGACACTGGGAGAAGTAATACATTAGACTAATATTTCCTGGCATTCGTTCTAAGGAACAGCAGTCCTTTGGGTTGCTCAGCCAAAGGGGGAGGGGTGTTTTTTTTAAAATAAGGTCTATGCTGCAACCTAGATCCCTTCTAACACATTTATAACACACACTAACTTAGTGTATGTTCTAGAAATCCTATATTTTGTTTAATATTCTGATTCCAACTTTATTTGATTGTCTACTTTTTTTAAACCAAATTTATTTGATTGCTTCATTAGTTCACTGGAACACTCCCCAAAGATGCAGCCCAAAGCTCTTCAGAGACTGTGTAACCAAAGCACTTCACTCAGAGCAAGGATGAGTCCTAACATCATAAGAGGAGTTAGGGAAGACTACCATTCTGGCCTTCCCTCTTCCTGAGGTTCCACTACCCGGGAAGAGGGACATGGGGGTGAGGGGTGGCGCAGAAGAGGTGAAGAATAGCTTTGACACTTAGCTGTGACTGTCACTGAGACAACTAACCAAACAGCTTGGTATTCCCTGATGCCTACCATTCCCACATTCTGACTTTTGGAAGGGAAAATGAGTAAGGATGGAGAGAAATAGGCTTATGTCTGATCAATTTTTTGAAAATTCATTACACAAAATGGAGTCATCCCTGTCACAGCCCACTAAAATGGAGTTGTGGGCCATGGGAAAGAAATGGAAACAGGTGATGACATGTGCAAAAAACAATCCAACGAAACAGCCTGCCCTATCTTTCAAACCACTTTTACTTAGCAGCTGGTGAAGGAATGTGCCAACTATAACCTTAAAACTAGCTTTACACAGTAACTGCCCCCACTCTCCAATCAGAGCTTGCCAGCTCCCACAAGCTTGGAAAGTGCCAATGAACCTTCATTCAGAATCACTTCTATAGATTTCTCTGTCCTCATAAAACTCCTAGTCTTTCCCTTGTTGTCCAGACATACAGAGACCAACTTGGCCTGTGCATGTGGACCCTCCACTACAGTTCTATTCTTTACTCCCAAATAAAACTTCCTTTATTGATCTATCTCTGTATTTTGACTTTGACAGTTTTCACTTATTTCTCCCTTACAATGTCTTTCATCACTTTTTTTTTGATACATTCTCCTATTTTTTCCCACTATCCTGCTCCCAAATCTAAGAGAACTCTGAAGACACTGACCACATATTCCCATTATCTATAACAATCAAATGAAAGCCTCCCTGAATCAGGTAAGTAAAATTCAAGTAAGCACCAGAAAGAGTAACTTACCCCACAAATGTTTCTCGACAGTAGATATGCCCAAAAAGGGCACCAAGTAACAGGATCAACCTCATGGTCAAAGCTTTATCCAGAATCCAGAAAGAACTCAGAGTCCTTCCTGAACTTTATTTATAGGGAGCGCTGCTGAGGCTGATCCATGGCCCTCTGAGAACTCCAGTGAATTCCCACCTGGTAAAATTCTCACCTGCACATGAAATTCTCAAGGTTGTAGACACCCATTGGTGTGCTATCACCAATCTGTACATTTTTCCATTCCTAAGATGAGATAACAAACTTTGATGGAAAAGAAAACAAAATTGTCAGAGCACACCAAGGTCAAATCATACAGTTATGATTTAGAACATAAAGTGCCCCTAGCTCTGCTTAGTGATATAAGCCAGATTAATAGACCTAGAGGTTATAGTCCTTTCTGGGTGTTTGACAAAAAAAAGGGCAAAGCATTTATAGTAATTACTCAGGCATCCTGTCTATCACATCCCATTAGTCTGCTCATTTGTTTATTTTTATAGAGTTTGCCCTGCAACTGCAGTCACTCAGTCCACATCTGCTGAAGGTCCCTGTAGATGTGGCCCCTTCCAGCCCTCACTCAATATTAAATAAACAAAACAGAATGTCTTTTAATATTTAATTTTGCACTGTCTCTAAAGTGATCCATCTGCATTTGCACCAAATTGATATCCCTATTTCCACACTTTTTCCCAAAATGAAAATGTCTTTCTGATTAAAACAATGACATTTCTTGTTATAGAAAGTTTGGATTAAAAGGAAGGGTTTTACTAAGTGACCAGTAATTCTTCCACCCAAAGAAAACCATTTGGTGCCTATCTTTTCCAGTTTCTTTCAATGCTTGAGAGTTTTATTTTTGTTTTTTCTTAAGCAAAGTTTAGACCATATTGCATAGACTGTTTTTTTAAACAAAGGTTTTTTTTTTTTTAAGTAACCTTTCCTTGTCCATAAACATAGATCTACAATAATCTATTCTTCATTGCATGGGAAGAAAATACGCCTATTTTCTTTTAGGAATCACACTTTATTGCTTTGTAGTCTTTCACACTCATTATAGCCAGCCTAGCAAGAATCAATCACGAACAGCTGCCGAGGAATTTTCATCCGTCCCCTGTGTGTCAAATTTTTCATATGCACACACTTTAAATCCCTGGATTTGATTGCTCAAGTACTTACTGGAAAGGGAAAGGTATATATATTGTGTTTCTGGTTGAAGAAATTACTAGATTAACTTGGTTTTTTTCTTCCTCTTCAGAGTCAGGGAGAAGACAAAAACCCAGAAGCAAACACCATAATTCATCCTCATGTCCTCTGCAACCATCAAATAAACGGTAGCCCAATTAATTGTAATAAATATACTTGGAGCAATAATCACAGCTTCCTGGAAAAAATGGAGCTCTAGCTGAGTCTTAGGACAAGTAAGATTTGGCCAGACAAGGGTAAGAAAGGCTGGATTACTGGTGGTGGGAAAACAGGAGTTAGGTGAAGAACGGGAAAATACATGCACATCCTGGGGTTAAGAAGGAAACCTGCCCCACTGGAGCAAAGATTGGACCTGGGAGTGGTGGGGACAAGAAGTAGGAGAGGGGGCCAGAGGGTGGGGACCCTCACAATCTAAGCAGAACAGTCTGCTGCTGATGAAATAGAGAGGCCAAGAGCCTTGGAAGATTCCAAGCAGGTAAGCAATTGATGGAGCAGCTTCAAGAACGATTAACCTTGCAGCATGAGCATGCATGAAAGCCCAAGGGAGCCAAGAAGGAAACTCCTGGAGAGATACAGATGCCAAGCGTGGCTTGGGTGGTGCAGATGAGATGTTCACAATGGGCTCAGAGAGGCATTCTGGGGCTGGAGGTGGAGCTCAAGCAGTAGAATGCTTCCAGCAAAAGTTTGAACCCCAGTATTGCCAAAGAGAGAGAAAGAAAGGGAAAGAGAGATGGGGAGGGAGAGGGGAGAGGGGGAGACGGAGAGACAGAGGGAGGGGGAGAGGGAGAGAGAGAGAGATCCATATCACAATAGGGCATTGTCCTTCCAACCTCTTCATGCTCTAGAATTAGGTTGAAATCTTTTGTTTTGGTGGTACTGGGATTTCAACTCTGGGCCTCACACAAGACAGGCACTGCCACTTGAACCACATGCCCAGCCCATTTTTGCTTTTAGTTATTTTTCACATAGGTTCTCTTATTTTCCCTGGACCAATTTCAGACTGCAATCTTCCTACTAATTCTGCAAAGCTGGAATTATGGGCTCACCCCACCATGCATGGCCCCGAAATCTGTTTTATAAACAGTTGTATTAAGTTATACATAACATACAGAAAACTGCACATATTTTAAATATGCAATTTGATAAGTCTTGACATAGGTATATACCCACGGTGAAACTATCACCACAATCAATGTTATGTATCATATATCCATCATCCCCAATAAAATATGTTTTTGAGAGTCACTAAGAAAATCTCCAGCCGGAAAGAGATCATTGAAGCCCTCCGGCTTTGAGGATGAAGAAATCAGTTTCCCAGAGGGGAAGGGGCTTATGTAAAGCCCCAGGGTTGGTCTGAGGTAGAGCAGGCACTAGGAGCTCCATCCTGAGGTCTGGTTCTCAGCTCTGACACTGTGCAGTGCCCAATTAGCCCAGGTAATTCTACTCGGCTCTATGAAAAGACCATTTTAGACCAAATACTTCTTTATCAACCTGTCCCTGGGGAAGCTATAATTTAGAAAGAGAAAGGTGATAGCTCTCATTCAAAAAGTGCTCTAATGGCATGTTACTCCCTCTGAGGATGATGTTAGGCACATTTCTGGGGTGTTTGCCCTGTAACCCCAGAAGGTGAGAGAGCCTAACAGCAGGATGGGAAGGCTACTAAGTGGGACCACAGTAAGACAACCACAAATTAAATCCTTCAGTCAATTCTCAGACTCCAAAGACCTTCAGAATCAAAACTCTGGATGTCTTTGCCTATAGAAACACGGTTGTTCATAGTAAAATGAGTTTTATAGCACAATGAATAAACTTTTAAGGATATTTCAGAGCATTATAGATTAATACACTTTGAAGCTTTGGGAAATGCACAAAATCCTGATTTCTGAGGGGGTGGGGGGGTTAGAAACATGCTCCAAATTTCAATCGACGCAACTTGAAATAAAAATTTCCATCACAGAAGATGACGTTATATCAGAATTGCTGGATTCTTTGCACTACCATTAAAACAAAGCACCTGTAAAATCTTACGGAATTTCCATCTGTTGGCTAAATGGACCATGGCCATGTAAGGTGGTGATGTCAGAAGTTGGGTGAAGGAATACAGGGTCTCTCTCTGCTCTCTTGGCAACTTTTCTGTAAATCTAAAATTATTCTGAAAATAATTCCAAAATAGAAAGTTTATTTTTTTAAAAAAATTAAGGCTGATGAAGTGGTTCAAAGTGCCTGCTTAGCAAGAACGAGGCCCTAAGTTCAATGCCCAGCAAAAAAAACAAAAAAAACAAAAACACCAAACTGTTGGGAAACCACGTTCAAAAAAACAATGATGGGCAAACAGTGTACAGAGAAAATATTTGCAGCATATATGATAAAGGGCTAACATCCATACTATGTAGACAGCACTTAGAGACTACAAGATTGCAAAGTATCTTGTAGAAAATGGACAATGGCAAAAATAAGCAGGACACACACATAGACATACAACCCATATATGAGCAAACATTAAAAAAAATTTTAAAGTTCAAAGCTAACAGTGTAACTCAGTGGTAGAGAACTTGCCTAGCACTCAAGAGGCTCTGTAACCCCAGCACTACATTAAAAAAAAATTATAATAATCAATGTTATTTTTCCAGCTGGGGCACGGTGGTATACCCCTGTAATCACAGTACTCAGGAGGCAGAGGCAGGAAGATCTCAAGTTTGAGCACAGCCTGGGCTACACAGAGAGACCCTGACTCAAAAAAAAAAAGCTACTTTTCAAAAATGAGATGTTGGGGTTTTTTCTTTTCTTTTCTTTTTATGCTATGGTAGGTTGGTTTCTTAAAAAAATGTTACCCAGAGTTGGTGAAGATTTAGGGTAGTGAGCACTAAGGGAAGAGTGTACCCCCAAGAGTAGGGTTTGGTAATTTAAATCCAGAAACTTAACAGATATGTATTTCTGTGCATGCTACTTTCAGAAATTTGTTCTAAGGAATCATCATGAAGACACGCAAAAATTTATCTTGGATTTATATCATTTAAAATGATGAAAAACTAGAAAAATCCTAGCATTTTCAATTGACGTTTGGTTAAATCAAGTAGAACAAATTCACACCAACCAAAGATGAGGCGTCCAACAAAAAATGACATGTGTAAGCCAGTGCTGGTGGCTCACGCCTATAATCCTAGCTACTTGAGAGGCTATTTGCAGCCCAGGCAAATAGTTCATGAGATCCCATTTACAAAATAACCAGAACAAAAATGAACTGGAGGTGTGGCTCAAGCTGTAGAGTGCGTGCTTTGCAATCTTGAAGCCCTGAGTTCAAACCCTAGTCCGACAGGGGGGAAATAATAGTATGTATAGAGTATAGTATGTATTATGGCTCAAGCCTGTAATCTTAGTTACTCTGGAGGTGATTAGGAGGATCCTAGCTCCAGGCCAGCCTGGGGGAGAAGGTCGAAAGACACCATCGAAGCCCATAGCTGGGAGTGGTTCATGCTTGTCATTACAGCTGTGGGTGGAAGCACAAATAGGATAACTGCAGTCCAGGCCAGCCCAGGCATAAAGGAAGACCCTGTCTAAAAAATAACTAACACAACAGGAAAGAGTAGGAAATACTCTGGAATTAATAGATATAGGCAAGAACTTTCTCAATGGAACCCCAGCAGCACAGCAACTAAGAGATAGCATAGATAAATGGGACTTCATAAAACTAAAAAGCTTCTGCTCAACAAAAGAAATGGTTTCTAAACTGAACAGACCACCCACAGAGTGGGAGAAAATATTTGCCAGCTACACATCAGACAAAGGACTGATAACCAGAATATATAGGGAACTTAAAAACTAAATTCTCCCAAAACTAATGAACCAATAAAAAAATGGGCAAG